CTTGATGAGTTGGATGACGAAAATCTCCCAATGGAGGAAAGTACTGGAATTGGTGTTTTTATAGACCTGTTTCGCCTTTATTGGAGTTGGCAAGGATCAACGACCGCAAGTTTCCACCGTGGTTGCTTCAAATGAAGCTGGAGCACCAACAAGTATCGGTCCCACTCGAAGAGTTCCAGATCAAACAGGTGGAGCTCTCGAGGGACAACAATAATGGAGACGCTCTCAAGAGCCCTACGAAGTGTAAACCATACATTTTACATGAAGCTGTAAACGACAAAGACACTGAATTACATCTTATCGCAGATTCGATGTTTGTTGCTTCATTGTTTTTTTTCTTCCTCTAGTTCTTGCAAACTCCAGTTTTTCTATGCCATAATTGCCGCGATGAATCCACAATTAAAGTTAACTGCATTGATCTCAGCAAAAAAACTGATGACACTGAGAAGTAGTAACAATATCTCATTTCGCTTTGAATTGAATTTTGATTACAGTGACTAAAATGCTCACAACTCACGAGGCTGCCAGCGTGTTCAAGCGCGTCAAATTCTCAGCAATATTTTCACAGGCGCTGATAACGCAGCTCATGACGATGAAATCCTCCATGGTGATCCGTTTGCTGTGATCATCCACATACCCCAACAAGCACTCACCATAGGCGTGTTTCAGTGCTATCGCAGCTTCTGTGAGTGTAAACGCCTCGACGTTGAGTAGCGCTTCTGGTGCCGAGCTTTCGCTAGCCGACGACATGGCTCGAAAGCGGTGTCTACGATTGGTCTTCAGAGTTTCCGTGGCATTAACAGGGGTAGACCCGTGCTTTGACTCAAAAACTGACATGTCAACGAAGTTGGACGAAGCCCGGTGCCGAGAATCTGAAGCTGGGGGCGATACAGTGGAGCCCCGTTTGTTCTTCCCGGGTGTTGAGGGATCATCTGGGTCGTCCGTTTGAATAGAGTTACGTCGAAGTGTACTTTTACGAAGCAAACGACCGCTCCTTGAGTGGGAAAGTTGCGATCCGTTGGGTCCTGTAATGACGTCGCTAACGGGGACTTGTGGTTGGTCATCGTAGATCTCCAGTTCCAGTCGGAAACCTTCATTTAGCGCCTGCATGAACTCGTTAAAGGAGATTTTACCGTCGTGGTCCTTGTCCACTAACTGCATGAACTCATCCACATATTGCTCCATCCCTCCAATCCCCTGACTGCCAGAGTACGGCATTAGTTTTTCCAGTAGAAGACACAGTTCCGAGGCATCAACTACACCTCGACGATGCACATCAGCGATACGAAAAGCTTCCTTCATCTGCAAGTAGATGGCGTGATCTTCAGCGGTTGAGCCGGAGAATTCCTCGCCAAATAAAGTCACCAAAGTATCGAAAGCTCCTTCGACTCCTGCCTCAACCACAGCCAAACTTTGATCCCACTTGATCTTGGCCACAGCAGGAGATGTTGTACTCACATTAGGCAGCGGAGACGGCGGCGATTGGGCAGAATTATCCTCTGTAGTAGACTCTCCTGCCATCTCAGCTACCATTGCAGAGGTAGGAGAAGGAGGTTCTTGAGCCGCAGCATACGCAGCAGCGCATTCATCTTCGATTCGACTTTGTTGCCAACGTCTTAAAGGCTTGTCTTTCCCACTGCTTCGACGATGTTCGTGCCAGTCCACCAGGTCCACAAGAACGTCAATTCTATCCAAAATTTCGCGACATACGTTCAGGACTGTCGTGTACTTGGCTGTTGAGAACGGGGGCTTCCACAAAGTAGGCTCCATACTAGAGCCATTCACCAGTTTAGCTTGCGTCTTGAGCAGTTCAGGAAGAGTATTCTTTAGTTGGTCTCTCAGCCCCTTGATCTCAGCGCGACTTAGTAATGCGTTTGTAATCTCAATGTCCTCTTCTGTGAGAACCCCTGTAGACGTAGCTCTCGGTTGACTGTACGCGATATGATGACGAAATACGTCGTGGAAAACGTCACAATACTTTGTCAACAACTGCTGGATGTTACTACGCAGCAGTCCACGGGAGCTTCGAGGATGAATCACGACTTCCACGACCATGAGAATGAGAATACCCAGCGCATTCTGAGTTAGACTGGAGTACGATACTGTGGTCGAAGATGACGTGTTTCGACAACTGTGGTCTAGTAGCACCGATGCAGCCATGAAAGCTGATGTCATGCCTGCCAACGCCATGTAGCGACGACAGAACCACACATACATGGAGCCCACAGTCCACACGAACAATACGATGTTGTTCAATACGTTGTAGACGTTGTCGTCCGCCACTTTGCACACGAAGAAGCTGAAGATAGAGGGCACCACTGTACCAGCTACCAGACCACCCACACGATTCACTGTGTTGCCATACGTGCCACCAATATTATCCTCAGCCACCATAGCGATCGCAGTCGGGGCCGTCGAACTGAAAGCGAAGATGAAAGTCGCACAGCAAATTCCAATGATGACCGCCAGTGTCGTACGAAACGCGAAAATGATAAGTCGTCGAGGATAATTGACAGGCTGCAGCAGACTCCGACATGCCAATTTCAGGAAATTCTTGACGCGGTAACGAGCAGAGAAATTCTTGCGATTGAATTTGTCCTCAAATTCCAGCAGTGAAACCACGAACACGTGGAAAGAGTAGACGAATACATTGAGTGGCATGGTTTTACCCACGTCATCTGCCGTGTGGACATCGGCCGAGAGGAGGTTTCCATACAAAGTCGTGTATTTAGTCATGAGGCGTTCCAAAGCTTGTTGCAAACTGGCGAATTTCGATGACGACATGGCTAAAATATGGTAAAAATAAAAGTTAGTGTAAAAGATTGTAAAAAAAGATAAGGATAGCAGCGTACGTACTTCGTGACGAATGAACGATCTTGAGTGAGATATCCTCGAGTAAATCATTTGCCTCCACTTGTAGAACGTAGAAACGCGTTTGCATCTTCTGGAGCAGCACCACGTGCGTCCAATGGCACGTCTCCGCTTCGATGGCAAATTTCATGGCGTGTAAGTCTGCGAGTAACTTGGCGTATAATTTCACGAGCTGCTTGGCCACAGTTTTGTTGAAGTGAAAGCACACGCCCAGTCCCACTAATTCCTCCCACCAGCAGTCACTTAGCAGCGATTCCATCGTAGTCAGACGCTCGTGGGCATTGTCGAGCAATCGATCCAGCCGCAGCTTGAAGAAATCCATCTTCTTGATATCTTTGGCTCGGAAACAGTAGGAATCGACAATCAAGTTTAGGATATCTCGGATGTCGTGAGGCGACGCAGCCATGTGTCTCTGTAACTTCCTCATTGCACTAAATAAAATATAAAATGGTGAGTACTTACAGTATAATTGGAGATAAGTGTACCCACACGTACAAGATCGGATATGGTAGAATCATAACCGCAAGCGCGATTAGAGTGCCCACAACGCCAACTGCACTATAAATCGCTAATTGCTTGAGTAAGTTATCCGTGCCGTAATAACTGTTGCCTTTCGAGTTGTCCTTTAGAATCGTCGTGAATACAGGATTCATCGGATCCACCAGAGTCAATGCTGTAAAAATAACAAAGGTCGTGGTTAGTGTAAGCTTCCAACCTCAATAAAAAAAATGTTACAAGCTTACTGAAGTACAGATTCGTGCTCACCGCGAACTTCTTGACGTTCGTTTGCTACAAACCCACCAACAGTGTCAGTAAAATATCCGTACAAACCATTAAAATTTCTGTACAACGTACGATTGGTGACAGCAGAACCACCAGTGTAAAGAGCGCAAGCAGCGGCAACGTGACGCCCCAGTCCTGTAGACTCACATAGTACGTGCTGCCGTTAATGTTCTTGGATAAGGTGATGAGGTCACCTTGTGTAATGGGCACACAGGCGAACACTGCAAAGTTGTAGAGCAGCGCAATGGCCACACCGACGTCGATCTGCCACACTTGTTCAAGCACACCGCCCACCGTATTGGCCGCAGCGTAGATGACCATCATGGAGGCGACTGTGAGGCCTCCCAGATAGTAACTGGCCGGCAGAAACATCCACTCACGATCGGTGCCTTTTGTCTGGATCATACCGGCTAATAGGACCCCGACAGCAATGCGTACTGCCAATTGGAGGCGCTGCTTGAACACTCGCGCCTCTTTCGGGTGTTTATTCTTCTTGACGCGAGATACTCGACGACGAAGCTTCTCGGTCGCCTCAGCCGACAGCGTCGAATTGTTGGACGCTTGTTTGCGGAGACGCAAGCGCATGGATTGCGTCTGAGGTGGTGGCGACTGCAAGTCGACGTAGAAATCGCTCGTCTCGGTGGCGGACGTCAATGGCACACCAGAGGAATCGATGTCCAGCTCCACGGAGATATGATCGTTGTGGTTCGACGAACTTGTCGGTCCATTGTCCGCTGCATTGTTGGCGTCGTATTGGAGAGGTGGCATGCGTTTGGGCTGGAGATAGCAATTATGATACAGAGCAGCGACTGCGTTGTCCTGCAGTTGAGCAGAATAGCAAGCTCTCGTTACAGTACGCGTTGCGCACGTCGAAAATGCGAATTTTGGGTGATGCGCGTCACTTCTGCTGATGCCGACGTGAAATGAGATACCCTGAATAAACGGTTTGATCAAATGAATCTACTTGTCAATTTTCATTGATTTTTTAGACCCGCAAGAACTAATACCTGAAATAGAGAATTGAATAAAAACGATCGACATGACGAGGGATGTCAATGAAGGCTTGTCACACGAAACGACGACGACCATCCAGCAGAACGACCAAGCCTCGAGGACTGTTCATGCAGCTCACGACGACGAAATTCTTGATCACTAACGTTGTTTCCTTAATCCGGGGTGCTGAGAAATGCCTTGATATGGCAACATTCCGGCCTTATAACGCACTGGAAGTTGCTCGCCAAGTACTGTACAGTTTCGTGTTAGTGGCGCCATTCCAGCACTATTAGACGCAATGGACAGGCATACGAAGTCGTTCCCGCATCTGGCACCCTTCAACACGGATCGGAGCGGTCTGCGAAGCATGCTCGAAGTCAAGTTGCAGCTGCAATATTAGCTCCTCTTTAAACGCAGTGCTACGTCTGACGGGATCAATATCAACGTGGTCGGAAGAGTTCGTTGTCGACGCAAAATACACTTCAATGAATCGCTCAAGTGCATTCGCATGGCGGACCAAGTGAGCAGACGAAATTTGTCAACGCTTGCATGCCCGAGCGTCTCGTTAACATCCACGAATACTGAATTGAGACACTGCTTCGCAATAGTAACCAATGTCGACATGCTGCATGCTTCGCACTCTACTATACCATATGTGCCGTACCGTGCCGCGAACAAATTTTCACGCACCGGAACGAGTGCTTCATGAAAAACTACTCGGATTCGAAAAACAATTGCTGTAGCCACCGACAAAATGGACTACGCATGACGCTTTTTTTTTTTTTTTTTTTTGCGTTTGTAGGCAGTTGAATGACTGCAAACGGCACCGCCAAAATCGGGGTGCCGGCGGTGCGATGCGGCATCGCATCGCTGATGCCAAGTACGAACAATCGAAGCACATTAACCTGCACTGTCGACCATCCAAGCAAACAACCGAAACATTAGCGTATACACGTATCAAACGCATCAAATTAGCGAAATGAAAGTTGAAGTTGTCATTGACAAGGAAGATCTTGCCACATGGAAGCTTCTCGCCACGACGCCGACGAAAGGGATTGGAGGGCTGAAGCGGAGGCTATTCCGCTAGAGCACACTGCGCTTAACGCTTATCTTGAAATGGGGACAGGTACGATAGCTTAACAAGTTGCTCCTGGCTTGGCCCCAACAGGTGACAAGACGTCCCGTCACACGTTTTGAAATTGCGAGTCAGCTGATATTGCCCGGCGAATTAGTAAAACATAGCAAATTATAGCTAATCCGTGTTACAATGCAACTAAAATTTGGCTTGTGTCGGTACATGTCGGTAAGGCCGCATCAACCGCTTATGCGCATTAGTCAAACGAAAATGGGATGCTTGCACAGAAAGAGCCAAAAATAGACCCCAATGCAATTGCACTGCTCTAGAAAATCAATAGGCTAACATGACTTTGCAAGAGTATCTAACGCAATCTAAATACATTGCATTGCACACGACCTTCCCCCTAAGCTCTCAAGAGAATTTAGCAGCCCTGTCCAGGCCTACATATTCGAAACAATCACCCTTTAAACCACAAGGCACCATTTACCCATTTTCCCATTTCCTCGAAATTGGGCCACAAAGTGAATTGCCTTTTTCTCACCGACTCTCGTCCCAAGAGAAACGCAGCGATCGGACCAATCAGCGTGCTTTGGCGAGGTGTCGTCCCCGTCGTCTTGGTGCCATTCTGAGCCACAGACGCTAAACCATAATCCAAGTGTCTATCAAGAGCTCAAGTGGTCACTGCACGTATAACTCTCCAATTCCAATAGAACCATGAGTGCGATCGAAGCCAACTCCGAGCCCTCGTCGTGGAAGACCGAGAACCCCAACCAGGCACGTGACGCGATCTCCTGGCACGCCTACACGAGCGGCTTGAAGTCCGGTGCTGTCGCCGCCGTGTTCTCTTCAACAGCTGTGTTCGCTGCTAACAAGTACTGGCCGGCGTTCCGCAACCGCCTAAATGTGAGCGGCAAGACAGCGCTGGTGATATCACCCTTCCTTGGAGCCTTCACACTTGACGCTGAGACCCGTTTGATGCACGGCGCGCGTAACCCGGAGAGGTACATTGCCACTATGGACGGCTCGTACGTTGAAGAGGAGAAGAAAGTGTCAAAGCTCAAGTTCTGGCAGAAAAGCGCCAACTTCCTGTACGACCACCCGTACCGCGCCCTGATCACCGTGGGTGTGCCACTGGTGGGCGGTATCTACGGCTACCAGCAACTGAACAAGGGTATCTCCACTTCGCAGCAGATCATGCACACACGTATCTACGGCCAGGCAGCGGTTGTGGTGCTGCTGCTTAGCTCTATGGCCTTCCACGACTACATGGCCAAGCGCGGCCGATTCACAGTCGAGGACAACGAAGACTAAATCGACTTCAGGATATCATAGTCGATGATACACGTCCTGACGGCAAAGTGTCCAAAGACTACCCTTTTTGCAGACTCGACTACCCAAAAGAGTTTGACCAAAATAAAGTGATTTTTTATTAACTTGGCGGCCTTTTGCTTCGTCTTGTAAAATTGGATAATCGACGAGGAGTTTCGCGATGTCATCGCGTTTCGGGGCACGCTCAAGATGGCATCAGTCGCGAGAACGCTCTGGAGCAAGATGACTGCCAAACCTCTTGTCCGCCCGAGCGATGTGGACGTGCAGACGCTGGTGGTGCCGCTGCCGCAGGGCGTCGAGATGCCTCGTCGAGCGTCTTCCAAGCCAAGACGACGACGTACCAGCAGCGGCAAAACCGGCAAAACCAAGCCCACAACCAATGCGAATGCGAACACGAACCGACCTGACGGCTCGCGCATGACTCAGCAGCAGCTGTACATGTGGGAACCTGTGCTCACACTCGGGTGGTCGATCGGAATCTGCTTCACGCTGGCGGCGTTGTGTATCGGACTTGGAATTCTGATCGTCTACACATCTGGTACACTCACAACGCTGCGTGTGGTATATGACGGCAACGAAGAAGCACAAGCGACGCAGCCGGGCGGCAACATCACGCAGCTTGCCAATTGCCGTCTCGATTCACCCAAAGACGGCAACTCATTCCACGCCGATCACACCTGCTACGTGCACCTGAAGCTTCCGAACGATATCAAGAGCCCTGCACGCATATTCTACGAACTGGACGGGTACTACCAGAACCACCGACGCTTCGTATCTTCCGTTATCCGCACGCAGTTCACGGATGAATGGCGTCCGGAAACAGCGATCTCCACACTCGAATGTTATCCCATGAAGACCACTACGTCAGAGCTGTGTACGGTAGGTTCGTGCGAACCTACTTCAGCTGCCAAGCAACGCGAGTACTTCCCGTGCGGTATCGTGGCCAGCACCTTGTTCAATGACATTTTCTGGCTGCATGAGGGAGTTTTGCCGTCGGGTGAGAAGCTCACACGCACTGACATGACGTCCAGGGGCATCGCACGCACGTATGCTGCACATAACAACAAGAATCCAACCTGGAACGTTTCTACGGACGCGTACCTACCTGTGTGGCTCAACCCGAACATGAGTCGCATCATCCCGCCCCTGGCAAGCTCGACAGCTCCACACATCACGTCCGACTACACGAACAGCACTGCGTGGGTGCACGACGCGTTGGATCCAGACTACGGCGTAGGTGTCGGGCTGGAGAACGAGTTCTGGCGTGTGTGGGTCGAGGGCGCTGCCATGCACCCGTTCCGCAAGCCGTACGGCCGCATCGAGCACGATCTCCCGGCTGGCACCACGCTCACCTTCGCCGTGCAGTCTAACTTCTTCGTGCGGTCGTTCGGCGGCGCCAAAGCACTGGTGCTTGAGGAAGTGGGATGGTTCGGCAGTACCAACTACATACTGGGCGGATTCTTCCTGGGGGTTGGCGCCATTTTCGCTGTGGCCGGCATCTTCTTCACGGGTCGCAAGCTGTACAACCCTCGCGCGCTTGGAGACGCATCCGCCTTGGCGTGGAAGAAGAACTTGTAGAGGAGAGGGTGGTTGAATACACTTGAATATTGATCGAAACGCTTAAGATGGATGTCCGTAGGTAATAGGTGGAGAATTGATGAATGAAGTGGTCCGTATCCTTCATCCAGACATTCGCAGGTTGAAGGCCATCAGAATGCAGAGACATAAAAACATGGACGAAAACGTGATCGTTTCGTTTACGTTTTCGTCCCTTTTATGTTCACCTGCTGACGTACTTGAAGCGAAATTGTATTCCAGGTAGCCATAAAATGTCTACTCTGAAGTCTTCAGACTAGGTGTAGGGGCGTTCACCCCAACAAAATGATCACGCGCCAACTGAAAGTCTCAGTGAGACCTGAGTGAGACCTGTCCGACCCCAAAATGTACCATCGAAATCCTCGCACTCATTATCAAAATCTCCACGTCGACACCAAGTCGTATATCCCCAATCATCAAGAAGACCATGAGCTCCATCGACCACAGCGCTTCGTGGGAGTCTGCGAACCCGAACAAGCGTCGCGATGCCATCTCGTGGCACGCATACACCAGCGGCGTCAAGACCGGCGCAATGACTGCCTCGGTCGTGGGTGCTGGTGTACTCACGGCTAACAAGTACTGGCCAGCGTTCCACAACCGCTTGAACACCAGCGCCAAGACGGCGTTGGTGGTCATGTCGTTCCTAGCGTCGTTCACGGTTGAGGCCGAGAGTCGACTCGTACACGGCGCACACAACCCCGAGATCTACATGGCCACTATGGACGGCACTTACGTCCAAGAGGAGAAGAAAGTGTCCAAGCTCAAACTATGGCAACGAGGAGCCAACTTCCTGTATGACCACCCGTACCGCGCTTTAGCCACTGTCGGTGTGCCACTCGTTGGTGGCATCTACAGCTACCAGCACTTGAACAAGGGCATTTCGGCATCGCAACAGGTTATGCACACCCGTATCTACGGTCAGGCAGCAGTGGTCGTGCTGCTCTTGAGCTCAATGGCCTTCCACGACTACATGGCCAAGCGTGGCAAGTTCGGAGAGGAGGAAGAGGCTCAAGCTTAAGATACCAACCAGTTAGGAGGAGGACACCGAAGCTGAAGGATGCTCTTCCTGTCATTAGCTTTCTAGTGCTCTAGCAGTACAATACATTTATTTTTTACTAACGACCCCGCGTGCTATTCTAAGAAGCTGCGAGTGTGTTGAGCCGAGTCAAATTTGCAGCGATGTCTTCACAGGCGCTAATGAGGCAACTCATGACTATGAAATCCTCCATAGTAACGTGTTGGTCGTCATCGTCCAGTGAGCGCAGTAAGAGCTCACTATAGCTTTGCTTTAACGTCGCGGCAGCTTCGTTCAAAGAGAAGGACTCCACGTTCAGAAGCGCAACACCAGTACTCTCAGTGCGAGTCTGTGTCCACCAACGGCGGCGACTAGTACCGATCTGCGGAATCTGCTCTCTCTCGTCGTCACTACCAAGCACCGAGTCTAGACCCGACAAGGAGGACGGTGCGGTGAAAAACGTCGTTGATTGAGGCATAAGCACTCTTGCAGCTGAACTAGGCAGCGTCATGAGCGCATCGCTAGTAGCGGTGCTTGATTCCAGTAGATCAACAGCTGAGCTGTCGTCCGAGATATCCATCGAAGCAGGACCCTCTTGTTGGAGTGGGGGTTCCTTGTTCAACTGACCTGTGTTGCTTGGGATCATCTGTGCTGTGTTCTCATAGATCTCGAGCTCAAGTCGGAAGCCATCATTCAACGCCTGCATGAACTCGGCAAATGTGACCTGTCCGTCGTGGTTCTTGTCCACAAGCCTCATGAATTCGTCGACATATTGCTCCATGTGTACACTACCTTGATCTCCAGTGTACGGCATGAGCTTTTCGAGCAACACAACGAGTTCAGACGCGTCTACAGTGCCGCTGCAGTCTTTATCAGCGATGCGAAATGCCTCCTTCATCTGGAGATAAATGGCGTAGTCGTCTGCTGTTTTATACGTGAAATCTTTACTGAACAGCGTCACCAGAGCCTCCAACGACTCGTCCACCACGGATTCATAGGCATTTCGACTGCTATCCCACCTCGCTTTAGCTACAGCCGGGGTGGCATTTGAAGGAAGAGGCGGTAACGGAGCTTCAGGGATCATATCCTCAGTTGTTGGAGCAACAGCAGTAAAGTAGACTGTTTCAGGCTGTTGCGCTCGCTCTTCCTCTTGCTCTTTGAACGCAGCGGTACATTCATCGTTGAGACTTCCAGCGTTCCTGCGCTTTAAGCGGTAGCCTTCATGAACGCAGTTTCTATACGATCTTTCTCTCCATTCCACGAGATCAGAGAGCAGTCGAAGTCGATCAAGTAGCGTCCAGCAGACTGATAACACCTGCGTGTACTGTTCGTTAGAAAACTTGGGCTTCCACAAGCTGGGCTCAGCAGTAGCGTCATGGACGAGCTTCTTCTGTTGCTTAAGAATTGTCGGTAATACGAGCGATAATTCCTTGTGTAAAGCTCTGGTCTCTTCTTCACTTAGCTTCGCTTTCATGGTATCCGTCTCATTCACAGTTGGTAGATCACCGACACTCGGAGCGGTGGCGTCGGTGCTGGTAATATGATGCGTAAATACACGACGAAAGACCTTGCTATATGCCCATAGAACCTGCTGGATATTCGACCGCAACAGGCTACGTGCACTCTGTGGCTGTAGAATACCTTCAACGATCATCAAGGTCATAATGGCCACAGAGTTCTCGGTTAAACTTGAGTACGACAGCGCTTTGGTCGTTGTTCGGCAGCTGTGATCGAGCAATACTGAAGCCGACATGTACGCCGAGACCATCCCAGCCATACGCAGATACGACGAGCTGTAGCACACGTACATGGATCCCACAATCCACACGAACAGCACGGCGTTATTAAGTGCGTTGTAGAAGACCACGTCGGAGATTTTGCATACAAAGAAGTGGAGAATGGAGGGAACGACGGTGCCTGCCACCAGTCCAGCCATGCGATTCCTCATGTTCCCGTACGTGCCACCGACATGGAATTGTGCCACCATAGCGATGGCTGTCGGGCCGGTTGCGCTGAAGGCAAACACGAACGTGGAGATGCAGTACGCTATCAATACAGCCAGTGTCGTACGCACTGCAAACACGATCATCCTCTTCATGTACATAGTGCCCTGGTAGATACTGCACCACACCATCTTGAAGAACTTGACGATACGGTATCGACATGTAAAATTCTTGTGACTCAAACGCTCTTCAAACTCTAATAGAGTGTGCACGAACGAGTGGAACGAGTAGACAAATACGTTGAGAGACATGGTCTTCCCTACGTCTCCAGTAGTGTGCACCTCAGCAGAGAGCATAGCGCCATATAGTTTGGTGTATTTCTTCATGAAATGACAGACAGTTTGCTCCAAGTGCGTGAATTTCGGTGTGGGCATCTCTGTCGAGGCTTCCAGCACTCTGTTCGCTATCTCTTGCAACAAATCATTAGCCTCTGCCTGCATAATATGCAGACTCTGCTGCATTCTCTTCATTAAAACCACGTGTGTCCAATGGCCATTTTCAGCCTCAATCGCAAATTTCATCGCTCGCAAGTCCTTTAGAAGTCTCCCGTAAAGTTTGACAAACTGCTTGGCGACATTTTTATTGAACGTGAGGCACAAACCCACGCCCACGATCTCCTCCCACCAGCAATCATCCAAAAGATCCTCCATCTCGGATAATCTGTGTTGCGCTGCGTTAAGTAATCGGTCGAGTCGTAAGCGAAAGAAGTCCATTTTCTTGATATCTTTGACTCGGAAACAGTATGAATCCATGATCAAGTTGAGGATCTTGCGGATGTCAGTTGGTGCGTGACCCATGTGCCGCATTAACTTCTTGGTCGCGCTATTGTCATATCTACGTTAGTTTATGAGTTGGAAGAATATTTTTACCAGTTCAATGTAAAACTCACAAGAGTGGAGTGGGTAGTAGCACGGTCATCAGCGAGATCAGCGTGCCAACAACTCCTATAATGCTGTATACCGCTAAGTTCTTCATAAGACCCTGGGTGGCGTAGTCGCTGTTGTTAAGGTCCTTCAAATCTGTACCGCCAACTCTTGGATTCATGGGATTAATAAATTTCAACACTAACCACAAGCAAATACAGTACGTTAGTCACCAACAGTAGGAAGCGTTGAGCTCATAATATCTTACTGAAGAAGGCATTGGACATGACCGCGAACTTCTTGACGTTGTGGTGCTACGGTACCATGAACAGCTCAGTCTCTTGCATACGAAAGAAGCCAAGAGTATTACGCTTCACTTACAATCGGTAGCACGAAGATCGCGAACGTGAAGGCAAGCATGAAAGGTGACACCAATCCCCAGTCGTGCAGGCTCACAAAATACGGTGTGTCGTTCAGATTCTCTGGTACCGAGACGAGATCTCCTTGTGTGATCGGAATGACCAAAAACACTCCAAAGTTGTACAGCAATGCCAGCCCCACGCCCAAGTCGATCTGCCAGATCTGCTGCACCACACCACCCACTGTCGGTGCCGACGCATAAATTACCATAATGGCAGCATACGCTAACCCTCCTAGGTAGTAGAATGAAGGCAGGAACTTGGAGCCTGTAGAAGACGCCGAAGACCCCGTCTGAATAACCCCAGCTAATAACACTCCTGCAGCAGCTCGAGCCGCACAGCCAATATGCCTACGAAAAGCTTGACGATCAGTTAGAGTAACATTACAAAACACTGTAAAAAGCATAAGGCTTCTACCTCTTTCTTCCGGTCGACGACTGATTTTCTTGACTCGCGTTACGGTTTTGAGTCCTCGAGTTTCTTCGTTTGCCATGGAAGAGGAAGCGGTCGAAAGTTGCTTGCGAAGTCTCAATTTCATGGATTGAGTTGTCGGGGTCGTGGGTGAATCCAAGTCCATGTAGTTTTCGCCTACACCGGTCATTCCGGATGCGATCTCTAAAGCCGACGGACTTCGAGCCCTCGTCTCCTTCTTGTGCGGACTCGGCATCATTGCGAGAATTTCGTAGTGAACTTCATCAGCTGGCGAGCGGCCTGCAGGATGGGCCGATGAGATGTTGCGAAACCTCATTTAGTGGACTCTAATATCATCTGGTTAGAAACGACCCTAGTGGGAAAGCTTGAGCGTCAAAATTACAGACGCGACTGCAGTCAGTCCGTGTAACGATGGCATCACAAAAGAAGCCTCCTCATTCAGTGGCATCACCAAAGAAGCCTCCCATTCAAGAAGAGTCTTTTAAGAAGGGAGTCCTAGGTATCGATTAGGAGGATTCCGCAGAATGGAATGTGGCAGAGATTATTGTCTGATTTTTCTACTTTTCTAAAAATTAATGAAATTTCTAGTTCTAAGAAATTAACGAATTTTTAAAGTAGACAAGCTGCCTAAAGATCATCTTTCAACCTCTACCGCGTTGAAGCCCTTGCTTACTCGGTGTACATACTTTCGAGCTGGTTACGAAAATGCTTGACAATGGTTTGTCGTTTGAGCTTGAACGTTGGCGTGGCGAACTCGTTCTCGGGTGTGAATTGCTCCGAGTGCACGTGAAATTTCTTCACTCTCTCGAAGCCAAAGAGTTTGTAGTCGGTTGCTAGTCGCTCCATCTCTAGAGCGATATCAGCTTTCAAGTCGGCTCCAGCGGGGGACTCTGCGTTACATAGCTCCTCAAAGGAGGCCTTGAGACTTTTATCCTTCGCCCATTTGTCCACCATCTCGGCATCAGGAACGATAATACCCACAAGGTAGTTCTTCATCGAGTCGCCGTGCACGAACGCCTGTGCGATCAAAGCACTCTTAATGTAGATACCCTCGATCTTTTCCGGAGCCACATACTCGCCTTGCGAGAGCTTAAAGATGTTCTTCTTGCGGTCAATAATACGCAACGTACCGTCCGGATTCCAGCAGCCGACATCCCCCGTATGCAGCCAGCCGTCCTCATCAATAACCTCCTTTGTGAGGTCAGGCTGCTTGTAGTATCCGACGAAGAGATTGTCACCTTTCATCAAGATCTCACCTCGAGGACAGGGTTTATCCTGACTGGTATAGTTCATCTCCGGTACATCTTCCAGGCAGATCTGTACGTTGCCAAGCGGAATACCAATGTGGTCACCTGGAGGGATCTCATCGGTTGAACAGGAGATCACGGCCCCCGTTTCCGTCAATCCGTATCCCTCCAGCATCGTGGCGCCGAACACAATCTGACAGAACTCCTTCACGTCCTTCGACAATGGCGCAGAGCCGTTCATCATACGACGCACACGTCCACCGAGAGCTTTCTGAGCCTTACTAAAGACTAAAAGGTCCCAGAACATGTGCGTTTTGTAGCCATCTTTCAGGTAATACTTCTTGGAGGCATACGCTGTGTCAAACAGCCACTTCTTGATGCCTCCAGCTGCTGCTGCTCCATGTGTGATCTTGTCGTGAATCCGATTCAATAACCGGGGCACTGAGGGAAACACTGTGGGTTTTAGCTCTCCCAGATCGTCCATAAGCAGCTTGACATCGCCGGAATAGTATCCAACGGCAGCCCCGTTGTAGATACACGTCGTCTGGATCACACGCTCAAAGCAGTGCGCCAGTGGCAAATACGATAGATGAATATCCGTCGGGAGCAGCAGCGTGAACTCCAGAGCACACGCTGCTGCCGCCATCATGTTGGCGTGAGTGAGCATCGCTCCCTTGGGGTTCCCGGTAGTTCCGGACGTGTAGCAGATCGTGGCCAAGTCGCTCGGAAGCGGAGGATCAGCACGCACGACGTTCCTTTTGCCGTCCTCGATCAATTGACTTAACGTTATGAGCTTGATCTTGTGCTGCTCCGCTAAGATCGTCTCCTCTTCATCGATTTCATCCTCAAGTCGCACTACCGTCTTAATACTTGCACATTCATGCAATACGCCCATGAGGACTTTGAACTGTTCCTTACCACAGAAGACGATACTCATCTCCGTGTGGTTGAGGATGAACGGGATGGCAGTAGCTCCCAATGTATCGTACAGCGGCACTAAAGTATACGCCATACGGCTGACACTGTGCTCGACGATGGACCATTGGTAGCAGTTCTTAGAGAAAACGCCGACGATGGCTCCTCGCTGCAGCTTGAGCATGTGGCTCATACCCGACGCTGCGGCCTCCACGACCGGCAGGAAGTCGTTGAGCGTCACCCACTCGTAAGCGCCGGGTTTGCCCGTGACTGGGTCGGTCTTCCTCCAGCCGAAGAGTTTGTTAGTTCCCTCTGGGTCGAACTTGCGACGGAACTCGGTCAGATTCTTGTACAGCGTCATATCCGACGTGAAGCCGCTTTTGACTTGACCCATCCGGATCGCTCCGTGTCTGGCGGTAGCGCTGCCTTCTACTTCGTACGTGAACTGCTTCATCGGTGTAACAGCGCGGGGCATGCACGAAATGTGCTCGGAAGTCGGCGAATTGCAGAGTGGCCTCTGTAGATTCAACGAACGGCCATTGGATCGCGTCGGGTCGGTGGCTCTAAAGCCTTGCGAGTCTACGAACAGAGGCTGGGCTCGACTCACAACTCTAGTTCATCTCGCACCAAGTCTGTCGCTATCTGGTGTCATGGCCATGAATCATGGCTGGTAGTGGGCCACTACTGGTGGCGAGGAAATCCACAGCGTCAATTGTGCTTAGAATTATTTGATTTACATATTTAAATCTAACGCAATGTGGGGCAACGACGTCGTCGACTACATCCATGGGGGGGGGGGGGGAGGAGGCATTTACAGTGTCATGGCTAGCATTGTAGCGACAGCGAAAGTGATAGCGATCGAAACGGGGGTAGGAGCTGTAGTAGCAGCACTGGATGATCCGCCGGCACTGGACGCGGACGCGGCGCTGGCATCAGACGCAGACGCGACGCTGTCATCGTCACCGACGTTGACGTCTCCGTCACTACCGACCTTGGAGCTGCCCACGATATCGATACCCATCGACTTACACTTGTTTACGACTGGATCTACGAGATCGCTCATGAGGTTGAGGTTCTCGTTTAAGGGCAGCGTACAGTCTTCCGGGTTGATGGCGAGGATCGTGGCAATGATCGAGCGGCACGTGTCGGTCTCGCACATAGTAGCGAGTTGTTCGTCCGACGGAGCACCATCGAGGTTGGCGAATACGAAGCCCGAGTCGGTGGCACATGCAGTTGCGTTGGTGTTTGTACGCAGCGAACCGATCTCAGACTTCTTACACACGCCGATAGCGGCGGCTTCCTCAGAGAAGATGCAGGAGACGATGAGGGCCAATGCGAGGGGGACGAGCTTGTTCATTTTGCTTGGGGGCTTGCCGCGAGTCCTAGAGAGCACGTTGGCTAATGGTCTCACACACCCACTGAACGTTGCTCATTATTGGACGACGGCGTTCGTTGTTCGAGTTCGACTTAGTCCCACTGAAGTCGGAGCGGATGAGAGAAAACTCCAGTCGGTCGAAATGTTAAGCTTTGGTGCGGCGAGCGAAGTGTCGAAGGCTCAGGTCAGCCAAGTATGGAGAGGTCAGCAAATGCCATATCAAGTCTTGAGCACGTTCTCGTTTCATCCAGTTTGTGAAGTTGCACTTATCTCCCACTTCAACTTGATGAGTTGCTCGGGTCTTCGCGCAACTCAAATTCGTGACTGTCACGTCAACTTGGTCCTTATTCAACATCAGTCAACACACGTCACAAATTTCACCACGCGACGCATCTTTGCTGACCCGTTTCTCATCTTTGCTGGCGCAGCGGGATCATGGTCGAGTCCCGCCCGCCACTCGCCAAGTCTCCTTCGTCGCACCAGCATGCAGCGCCTACAACGCTCGTCTCGCATCGGCAGTTTCAGCGGTCGATTGGCGCCACGCTGGCTGCGCTCGCTCTCGATTTCCAGCGCTGATGTATCCGTGTCATACTCACACGAGCTCCCAAGCGTGCCTCGCATTGCTGGACGTGGCCCTGCTCGAGTATGCCCCATTAAGACACCCTACAAGCCCCACATGACGCTCTACACCAACCTACTAGATCGCGCCAAAATGGATGACGGCAGCCGCCCCATGTTCGGCTCTAGACCCGTGGACCCAATGACAGGAGTGGCAACAGGCGACTACGAATGGAAAACGTTCGCCGAGTTCCTCGACCACGTAGACGAAACCGCGTCGGGCATGAAGCGCGCACTAGGACTCGGACGACAAGATATGGTAGGCGTCTTCAGTCGCTCGCAGTACGAGTGGACATTAGTGGAGCAGTCCTGCAATCGGATGGCCTTCACGCTCGTGCCGCTGTACGACACTCTAGGCCCCAGTACCGTGCCATACATCCTCAACCACACCGAGATGAAGGTGGTTTTCTGTGCCAAGGAGCAGACAGCCACACTGCTGCACTGCCTGCCACAGTGTCCACATTTAAAGACGATCGTGCAATACGAGAGCAACTTAAACGAGCAGCACGTAGCGGAAGCGAACAAGCGGGGAGTGAAGATCTGGACGCTGGAAGACATCGTGAAGATCGGAAGAGATCATCCAGCAGACGCTGATCCGCCTAAACCAGAGGATCTGAGCACTATCTGTTACACTTCAGGCACTACGGGTACCCCTAAGGGAGTGCTGGTCACGCACGCTAACTTTGTGAGTGCTGTGAACGCTTACCGACCCATGATTAAAGCCAACCGCGACGACGTGTACTTCAGTTTCTTGCCATTGCCACACGTAGCTGAGCGATTCTTACACGCAATGATGATCACTGAGGGAGCAGCTATTGGATTCTATCACGGTAATGTGGCGCGTGTTCTGGATGACGTGCAGGCGTTGAACCCGACAGTCTTCGTGGCTGTGCCGAGACTTATGAATCGCATTGTTGATCAATTGAAGCACAAGGTCACGTCTACCGGAGACGTGAAACACATCGAGTGCTTCTATCGAGCGCTGGACGAGAAAAAGCGTTTAAACGTGTTGAAACACGAACAATATGATGCTGAGTTGTTCGACGGCTTCAAGCCCGTTCTGGGTGGCCGTGTGAGGCAGATTCTCACGGGCGCAGCCCCTATTACAAGCGAAGTGAAGGAATTCTTCCAGTATGTCTTCGGTGTACCTGTTTTGGAGGCCTACGGCATCACGGAAGCCTCTGGTGGTGTCGCCTGTTCTAGTGCATCGATGCCTCAAGGTCCTCATGTAGGCGTTCCACTGCCTGGACTCGCTGTTCGTCTCGCAGATGTACCCGAAATGAACTATTCGAGTGATGAGGGATACGGTGAAGTCTTGATGAAGGGGCCCAACGTGTTTTCTGGGTACTACAAACAGCCAGAGTTGACTCGAGAGGTTCTTGAGGATGGGTGGTATGCCACGGGAGATATCGGCCGATGGAATCCTGACGGTACACTGAGTATCGTCGACCGGAAGAAACATATCTTTAAGCTTTCTCAGGGGGAACACGTGGCTCCAGAGAAGATTGAAGGTGTCTATCAGAAGAGCAAATTTGTCGGACAGGTGTTTGTGGAGGGAGATTCGTTGCAGAGCTATCTCGTCGCCGTTGTGGTACCTGACTCCGAAGTTGTTGCACACTCGCCGTTGAAAAACTGGGAAACGGATGACAAACAGAGACGAGAATTGGAGAAATTGGTGCTTGCAGACATGGATGTAGTGGCTCGTGCTGACGGCCTGCACGGCTTTGAGCGAGTCAAGAAGATTTATCTGACCTCCGAGGCTTTCACAGTTGAGAATGACCTTGTTACTCCGACGTTGAAGCCCAAAAGAGCGAAACTTGCCAAACACTTTGCTGATGTGGTTAAAGCGCTGTATGCCACGGCTCTTGAGGAGTAAGGAGGGCATGTAGAGAGCTAGACATGGAACGAACTTGAATAAAACAATTGCGCTGCACTCTTTATCAGACAATATGAATGCAAGTAGTGTTTTCGCATCCTTGTTGTTTCTGGAAACCTTTCCTTCGCGGAGTCTTTAGTGTTTCATATGCCCGTAGGAATCGACCAACGATGCATAAAGCACTTACGTGTAGTGTCTCTGCAGGTCTCTCTGCCTTTCTTACGGATGCGTGTTTGAACCCCGCGACATCCTGCTTCATTGAATTCCCCAGCAGAATGATGATGACCATGTGCATGTACGCAATTGTTTCCACGCCATTCGGTGCTAGGCCAAAAGAGTGATAAACATCGAATCCATGGTCAACATGATGATTGAAGTTCAAATCCTTCAACATGGCTCTCTCGACAGTCGAATCGTTGTTGGCGATGCTTTCAAAATCTCACTTTTCAATTTACTTTCTCCAGGTTACGCCACCCTCAAGCTCCACTCAAGCCTCTTTCGTCAATCATGACGGTACCGCTCAAGGACTACACGCTCTTCACCCCCTACAAGCTGTCGGAAAGCCTCGAGCTCAAGAACCGCATCGTGATGTCTCCACTCACCCGTGCTCGTTGCGACCCCGTCACCCACGAGGCCGGACCCATGCAAGTCGAGTATTACGCCCAGCGTGCTGGTGCCGGTCTCATCATCACCGAAGCCGTTGCCATCTCTGTGCAGGGATTCGGCTGGTACGGAGCTCCGTGCATGTACACGGAGGCACACCGAGATTCCTGGAAACCAGTAGTAGAAGCTGTTCACGCGAAAGGTTCAAAGATCTTTTTGCAGATCTGGCACATTGGTCGTCAAGGCCACCCAAGCTTCAGTGGAGATGTGGTCGGTCCATCGGCCATTGGCCCAGTCTCCGGTCACACGCGTGATGTCAATGCCGAAAAAGCTCCGTACGAGCTCTGCCGCGAGCTTAAAACTGAGGAGATCTCAGAGGTCATTAATGACTTCTGCAAGGCAGCCCGACTGGCAAAAGAAGCGGGATTCGACGGTGTCGATATCCATGCCGCCAATGGATATCTGCCTGACTCGTTCCTCCAGTCTAGTACCAATAAGCGTACAGACAAATACGGAGGCTCGATCGAGAACCGCGCTCGGTTCTTGTTGGAACTGGTCGAGGCGCTCCAGAACGAGTGGCCTGCCGATCGTATTGGCTTAAGAATGTCGCCCAACGGCTTCTATGGTGACACCGGCAGCGCCGATAACTTCGAGATGTGCTGCTATGTCGCTGAGAAACTGAGCAAATATGGACTCGCTTACTTGGCTACGCTGGATGGTTTCGGCTTTGGGTTTCAGGATAAGGGGCGTCTGACCAAACCGTTCGATGTGAAGAAGAACTTCGGAGGCACAGTGATAGCCGCCAACAGCTATACCCGTGACATCGGTGAGGGGGTTCTAGTGAGCGGCGCAGCGGACCTGGTAAGCTTCGGACGTCCGTACATCTCGAACCCCGACTTGGCCGAGCGGTTCCTCAACGACTGGCCACTCAACGAGCCTGCCGGCTATGAAACGTGGTTCGGCACGCGCATGCCTGGACCTAGCGGCTACATCGACTTCCCAGCTTACAGTTCTAACTCCAAGAACTGAGCAGTCGAAACAACCACTTTAATTTCGTACTTGCGGAGTTTCCAATTCTAGAACGATGAGTACAAAATTAAAAAGACAGTCACATTAATTTCGTACTGGGCGGAGTTTTACAATTGTAAAACGATGAGTAGAAACTACTGAAGTTAATTTTGAGCTAAAGCTTTGAGAAAATCAGAATGTCAGGTAAAAATAGTAATGCGTACAACTCTTTTTCTCCACTTTGTGATAATGTCCGAGTTGCCAGAACTCCCACGGTCATTAGAGCTGCCTGGTTCACTACGGCGGCAGTCATCACAACGCCCTTCTTATCGCCATGCGAATCTGGTCAAGCCCGAAGTACCGCCTCATTTACTTAAGTTACTCCAGAAAACTCCAGAGGAGCAAGAACGCGTAGCAGCCGCCAAAGCGATTCTGATGGACGAACCGGCAATGCGAAATGAACAGAGCTTGGACCTTGTTTACAGTTGGATGCTGCAAAATTGCAAGCAGTACAGCAACAACATCTTCGGTGCAGCTCCAGAGTATATTCGTCGTGAAATCTGCCGGCAGATGCGACTCATGAAGGTGAAAAGCGGAGGTCTCGTCATCCGACAAGGTGACACTGGAGATCGATGCTATATCGTCGTGGACGGACTTGTGGACGTGTATGTCAAAATAGAGAAGCCGGGAGAGGTCATAGTGACTCCAGCTTCACCCCCTCCTATGTTATCTACTATAAAACAACGACGCACGTCCAGACGTTTGAGCTCAGAAGTCAACTCAGCACCAGTCGACTTCGGTGCTATGGTGGCGAATCTTGGACCCGGAGCAATGTTCGGTGAAATCGTGCTGCTCAACCCGTCAGCGAAGCGCAATGCTACCATTAAAGCCTCACAGTTTACGGACAGCTGCGATTTGATTTGTCTAGAACGTGCTGATTACATTCGTCTGGTTCGTACTGCGTCTATGGAGGCATCGCACTACAATAATGCCGAGGTTCTCGACAGGATGTTCCTCTTTAAAGACTGGGTGAAGCTCGGTGAGTCGAAATCTTAATTGTGCTTCATTTGTGTTATCTAACGTCACCTTCGTGTGATGAATAGAGAAAATGCGTCTTGTTAGTGCGATGAGGTCACGACACTTTACAAGCAACGTAGGGGACTCCTTATTCTTGTGAATATTGCATCTTTATGCTAACTTATTGGGGTTATTTCAGGATTACCTCTATCGAGCCGGTACCGATGCGAAATGGATGTACATCGTGACTTCGGGTGAAGTGATGGAGCGTATCAATTGGACCCTCGATGCAGCAGGGAGTGATGTGACCATGCGGCGACTTCTCTTGTCCCAGACCTCTTCACGAAAAAATCCCGAGAAAATTGTCAACGTGGAGCTTACACTCATCGGCCCTGGGGATATCGCTGGGGAGCTACCTTTCGTTACTTCAAAACGCGGAGCTAATTTCGACATTAAAGCCGTGACAGACGTGCAAGCACTTGCCATCGATCGACGCTACTACGAGGCTGTGATGCTCACTGCTACACGTGATAATAAACCCGAAGTCTTCGCAACTGTGAAAAGATTGCGAAAATTCAGTCAAGACCGTGAAGATTGGCGTCAGCAGCGAATGGAGTGTGGAATTTCGTATCCCAGTGCGCACGTCAACATGTAAGTGTACTCGGCTCCAATTTTTGATGCTTTAGCTAATCTATTGTGTAGCACTTGGCATTTGATGCGCATGTCGAATGTTCCTTGTCCAAGATGTGGACAACGAGGTCACTTGGCTGCGGATCTCTCCAAATGTGACAGCGCCCCACCTCGTCAACCACCACCAAGCAACAATGGAAACACTGGAGCGAAACACGCATCATCTGCAGCCCTAAGACCACGAAAAGTGTCGACAGCAAGATCACCACCACGGAATCACAGGTTCGTATTTATTCTACCTCTCCCATGCGATGGAGTCTTTAAATGGTTTATAACTGTTCTTCTTGTTCAGGAAGGATGACAACCAACATCCCAAAACAGCACGTCCAGACACCGCCATTCGTGATCTTTTCGATGATTCGTATCTTCCATCAGGGAAAGAACAGCTTCAACGATGTCGAGAGAGGAGATTATTGTCATAATTTTTCACGTCTCTTATCTAGGTAGTTTTCTTTTTTCAAGACTAAAGATACTGTGTTCTCGTCGGCCATGCACTGTTACAGCAAACTGCAACTACTTAGACACCAACATATTTTCGTTATGTTCGGTCGAAGGCCAGATCCCGTTCTGTATTCTTGATCAATAGTAATCCTAAACAATAAAATCAATGTCCTTCAGTGCGTGTACAACGTAATTTTCACTGGTGATGTTGGAGACTGCGGCTGCAACCCATCCTTCACAGATTGTATCTTGCAGACGCGGTGACTGACCTCTCAACCACAGAGACCCTCATCCACACAGCGCCTTCGTGCGAACGCTGACCTATCTGTGGGCTGGTTGTACATCATGTTTAGTGTACTACTCCCTATGCACTAACTGTATAGTCAGTTATACGGGCAAATAGCAGTTAATTGGTGTCTAATAGAAAATGCTAACATGTAACTACGGAACGAAAACTACGGATTATGTAGTAGAATCTGGAGTGCCAAATTGTTTTTACATATTACCAAGATCTGTGACAATTTGCTTTGCCAAACTGTAGTCGAGACAGCTTTTTTTTTATCTGGAACTAGCCTATGATGGACAAGACTCTTTGGATTGATGCAGTACGTTTTCAAGTTTAACTTAGTTCAGAATTCATTCACGCCAACTGACTAGCCTACTATCAGATACTTCCTCCGGTTAATAATGATCACCGGAAAAAAACATTTTAACCAACGATTTCGTTTCTACATTGAATTAGACACTACGGATTGGTTTAAAAGGAAGCCCAATATCTCCGCTTTCCAACGCCACCCGTTTCATAGCAAATGGAGCCCTACAGCCGCCGCTACGTCATTTTACAAACCGTTACTTGCGGATTTACGCCGCAGTGACACCCGCTACGCCCGAACTACCTCGACGCTCCTCACCAAAGCATGACCAAGCCAAACCTTAGTGACCTAGAGCAGAAAGCAGTCATCGATGAGCTTCGACGGATCAGTAACAACGGTACACTGCCTCGGGGAGCATACGCAAAGGTTGCAACTGGTATGGGGCGCGACCCGACCACTATTAGCGCTACTGGAAGCGGTACGCTGCCACAGTTGGCACAGGCGTCCAAGGAGGTGAATGGATAAGCAGGATTAAGAAGAACAGCGGAAAAAAGCGAAAAAAAATTGAGACGAAGTGCACGAGAAGCTGGCTTCTGTCCCTATCGAAGACAGGTCTGTTGAAAGGCGGGCTGCGGCCAGTGCCGGACTCTCCTGCTACATGGTGCGGCAGGCAGTGACGAAAGACGTCCTTGCACGTCGGACGACGTTCGTCAAGCCAACATTGACGCCAAACAACAAGCTAAGGCGCGTCGAGCATGCCCTCTCTTTTGTCGATGATAGGACGCTGCACTTCAAACCCATGTATAACATGGTACATGTTGATGAGAAATGGCTTTATGCAGACCGAGACACGCGTTCTTACCTTGTTTTAGAAGGCGAAGAGCTTCCTTCCCGGGTGTGGAAGAGCAAGCGGTTCATCCCTAAAACCATGTTTTTGGCTGCATTAGCGCGTCCACGGTAAACTCTCTATTTATTTTTATTTTTAAAAATAATAACCTTCATTTTTTATTTTTGGTTAGGTACGACCCTCACCGGAATCAGGAATGGGATGGCAAGGTCGGAATCTGGTCATTTACAGAGACTTATGAAGCCAAACGATGAAGTAAAAACAGAGACAAAGAAGCGCTTTGTACCCGCAATATCAACTCTGTCAACCCTGACGTGTATAGGGACTACTTGCTCGAGAAAGTGTTTCCTGCAATCAAAGTAAAATGGCCCAGGAAGGACCGCCATCAAATTATTTTCGTACAACAAGATAATGCCAAGCCCAATGTGCCACCATCGGAGCCAGCCATCCTCGCCGCTGGAACAGAAGGTGGATGGAACATCAGACTGTTCTGTCAAACGCCGAATTCGCCAGACCTCAATGCGCTGGACCTGGGCGTCTTCAACTCGATGCAGTGCATTCAGCACCACATCCACATCCCCAGGAAGGACATCAAAGCCCTCATTGACTCGGTGGAATCGGCGTTTCAGCAGCTGAAACCCCACACGGTGAATGACATCGTCGTCACGCTGCAGGCGTGCATGCTTTGCATCCTGCAAAACGAGGGGGGATTGTATAAACTCCCACATTTAGGGAAAGCCAAACTCCGGACGAAAAAGCGTCTTCCTGTCAGTCTAAACTGTAGTAGGGAGCTGTACGAAGCTGCAATAGCACTATTCGAGTACTATAGCGAGGAAACGTCGCTGCTGTCCCGTTCAAATGGCTGAAGAGCAGTCTTTTCAGCGCGATTGAGGTCTGTCGTCTTCCGTTGAGCATCTTAACGCATCCAGCCTCAAAGTCCGGCGAGTGAACAATATCAGCTTGAGCGCCAAAATTCTAAAACAAAAATGTTAGCCTTTGCTGATGACTTAAGAACACCATGAAGATTTTAAACGTACCCAGGTAGTGTTTGAAGCTGGGCTCCACTTCGATTAGACCGTCGACCCAAACACGTGTATCCAGCATTGTGATACCGTCCTTTTGGAGGGCCTTGTTCACATTTTTAACGCGTGTACGCTCCACCATCAGAGTCTTCAAGCGCTTCACTGCCCTTGAGCTCGGCATGATATCTGCGGTCTCGTCGTCATCATCAGGGAGGAACTCCGAGAGCCAAAAGCAGCGTTCTACCATTCGGTCGGTCGAGCCCCAACGTGTGTCTTGGCGAAGGAGCAGTGTGTTAAAGCTGATGTACAATACATAAATTTTTATGATCAAAATACTTACCGTAGGGCTGCGGCCAGGTTCAGTGTCTTCATTTTGCGCATGAGAGTTTGGATCTGCGCCACATCTTCGTCGTAGCTGCTCAAGTGCGCCTGCACTGCTAAATTCAGGCGGTGGCTAGCGCACCCCACTAGTGGAGCACCCATGCTGGTTGCCAACCGCCTGTTTACCGAGCAATTACCCCCGCATTAAAAATACAGTTGTTTATTTACCTGCTTATCGTAGTCCCGCGTTGTTCGTCCCCGGTATCGTCGCCAATGACCGAATCCATTCTCAAGGTTGTTCTCATCGGCGATTCGGGTGTAGGCAAGTCCAATCTCGTCATGCGCTTCACCAAGAACAAGTACATGCCACAGAGCGTGCAGACGGTGGGCTTCGAGTTTGCCACCAAGACCTTCTGAGTAGGCGTCTTACAAAGCTCATACCGGTACTTTACTGGTCTGCCCGAGCCCTCGGCTCTGCAAGTAAAAGGGGTTGTCGAAATAAAAATGGCGTTGTGAGGGAATAAATCATATTCAGTTCCCGATATTTACCATATCTGGTTCCGCAATTTGTGTTTTCCCTCGAGAGCTTTTCCCATAACCAGTACCATATGTGAGCACAAATCGAAATACGTACGTACCTTTCCCAAAACCAGTAAACAAATACGTACCTTTCAAAACCAGTAAACAAAAATAAAGTGGACCACTTTCATTTAGCAGCGTTGAAGATTCAATAATTACTGTGTACTAACTGTTTAATCCATGTGCGTCAAGGCAAATACCTGAGCGACAACTCATTGAAAACGGTTCCTGATGTGATCTTTAACCTTTCGACGCTACAGTACCTGATGCTAGAGGACAATCCGATCAATGCATCAGATCTGTCTACGCAACAGTTGACGCCCTCACTAACCTCGTCATATTCACGTGTCGTGTTGCGGCTGCTCGTTGGTAACATCTGGTGGTGTTGTCGTCGACGCAGAAATGAACAACCCAAATTGATGAACAGTGCTATTCTGTCGCGTTCAGTTGGCATGGGGATTTTTCCGATCACCCGTACATGGAGCTGGGAGTTTGTTCTAATGCGTCATGCCAGACAAAACGCGGCAAATTTCAGATGCAATGGTGTTCCTGCACAAGCAGAGCATCATCCACAGACGGCTGAATGCGTTTACTATCCTACTTGACAAGGATTACTCGGATAAGTTGAGGTTTTTCAGCAGCTTATAGAGTTTAATATTCTACTTGACAAGGATTACTCGGCCAAGTTGAGTCTTTTCAGCAACTCCCACTACGTTAAGCTGTCACCTTTGGACAATGAATGCAAGATCTTTGCGGATCCTGAGATTTTGCGCGGCGAGCAGTCATCAGAGAGGTGGGACCTCTACGCATTCGGCGTGGTTCTTGTGGAAATCGATGGGATATAATCTTTGTGTGTCCTTCAAAACGATGTATTTTTTTTCTCTATACACTTTCAGGTGTGACTGCATTTCTATGTTGGTAGTACTGGCGATACCCGAACATAATACAATATCTATAACTCATTTGTTTCTCTACTCACTCATTTATTCATTATTGCTCTGAAAAACAACTACGACATTTCTTTAATGTAATGTCCGAGCACTGGGTCATGGGATCCTGTTGGGATTCGACTTCCAGACGCCTCGACGAGCTCCACTGCCGCTCAGCAACGCCGACGGCAGCACGACGGCCCAGCTGCCCACTACATCACCGAGCCACAACAGTAGCAGTGCTGCCAGCACCCCACAATCGGCCGCGTCAACAGCAGTACTCATAATCGGCCACGTCAACAGCAGCACTCATCATCGGCCGCGTCAACAGCGGCAATGCGTAAGCAAGCGGCCTGAGGACGCTGCCACAGAGCACACCCTCCACTGGAGGGACACTGGAGGCTCCAGCGGTTCAGGGATTAGAATGGTAAATTCATGCTCAATAGAACGAACTACTCACTTCGTAGCTTACTTTCAAGGGCGCAAAACGCCATAGATCCACATACTTGTAGGCTGTCACCTCGCTGAGATTCAAGAGCTAGCCAGTACAGTATCAACATCGAATAGGAACATTCGTTTAGTGCATATCTCGTTTTGCGTGCTAAATACTGGACGGGGTCGAAGGCACGGGCAAGCAGGTAGATATTCTCGTGGTTCCATCAACGCACTTTAAAAATGTGTAAGAAACTGTTTTAACAGTTTTATTACAACTTCCAAGTCACTTTGCACGTCGGGTTTCAAGCAGAAACGGGACGTCGACGTCGAATTGCCACACCTTCAACTTAGCGGGCAAAACTATCTTGCTAAACAGTCTCCTTTGCCATTCTGCATCCTCGATCGCAGCACGTACATTCACTCTTGCTCTCTCTTTGTTTTACTATGGGGTCTGCCTACAGCACCGCCGTGCCTATGAGCGAGATCGACTTCGAGTCGTACAAGGGTCTGCGCTACACCACAGCGGTGCCCAACACGGGAGACGCGACCCACGGCCCCACGTACGAAGTACCCAACACAGTGCCGGTCGACGAGGCGCAACAGACGCTATACCACAACTTCTTACGCGGTTGGAGCCGCGAGGGCGGCTCCCGTCCGTGCTACGGGCGCCGTGTGGTGGACCCAGCCACGGGGAAAGTGGGCTCCTTCCAGTGGCTCACATACGCTGAGGTGAAGACCCGCATGGACGACCTGGCGTCGGGACTGACGCGTGCGTGTGGTCTCAAACGCCAAGAGAATGTCGGTATCTTTGCCAAGAACCAAATCGAGTGGTGTCTGGTCGCCCACGCGTGCGACCGCATGGCCTACGTGCTGGTGCCGCTGTACGACACGCTCGGACCCGATGCGGTGCCCTACATTGCCAACCACACCGAGTTAAGAGTCCTATTCTGTGGCATGGACCAGTTCCACGTCGTCATGGACTGCAGAGACGCCTGTCCGAAGCTGCAGACGGTCGTGCAGTTCGAACCGGTCACGGAGGAGCAGCGCCATCTAGCTGCAGCCAAGAATATCGAGCTCAAGAGCTTGAGTGATCTTGAACTCATTGGACGAGCGGAGCCGCTACCAGCGGATCCCCCGCTTCCGACGGACATCTCGACGTTGTGCTACACGTCAGGCACTACGGGAGACCCCAAGGGTGTGATCTTGCTGCACAGGAACTTCACTATTATCAGTACACTCGCTGGAGAGAGATTGCGAGTGGACTCGACCGACGTGCACCTGTCGTACTTGCCGCTACCTCATGTCTTCGAGCGAGCGGTGATCGGATCGATCTTGCAGAACAGTGCGGCGGCTGGGTTTTATCAGGGTGACGTATTATTCCTTATGGAGGACCTCGCTGAGCTCGCCCCGACCCTGTTTGTGTCCGTTCCGAGACTGTTTAACCGAGTGTACGACAAGATCACGCAGGGAGTCGCTGCAGCCGGAGGATTGAAGAAACTCATGTTCGATCAAGCGTACGCCAGCAAGAAGGCAGGATTGGGTGCTGGCTACAAGACCCACGCTCTGTGGGACGCACTGATCTTTGCTAAGATCCGTCAGGTGCTGGGTGGTCGTGTTCGGTGCATTTTATCCGGATCTGCGCCGCTGAGTGCTGATGTGAAGGAGTTCATGAAGATCGTCTTCTGTTGTGACGTGGTCGAGGGATATGGACTCAGTGAGACGGCAGCGGGACTGTGTCTTGCTTCGGGTGACATGCCGTTGGGACCGCACGTTGGTCCGCCACTCGTCCGTATGCAGGTGTGTCTAGAAGATGTTCCGGAGATGGGCTACACCAGCAAGGACAAGCCTCGTCCGCGTGGTGAGATCCTTGCTAAGGGTCCAGTGGTGTTTGCTGGATACTACAAGCAGCCGGACAAGACGGCTGAAGTGATCGATGAGAATGGCTGGTTCCATACTGGTGATATTGGATGCTGGAATGCTGACGGCACGCTGAGCATTATTGACCGCAAGAAGAACATCTTCAAGCTCTCGCAAGGCGAATACGTTGCGGCCGAGAAGATCGAAGGTGTGTATTTGAAGAGCAAGTACGTCGCACAGATCTTTGTGTACGGTGACTCGCTGCAGAGCTGTCTTGTGGCAGTTGTGGTGCCTGATCCGGAGACAGCTGAGGCCTGGGGCCACACCAAGGGACTAGCTGGGGAACATACCGCAGTGGCACAACTGGTTCACAACGGGGCCTTCCAGAAAGAGGTGCTGGAAGACATGACAACGACCGGGAAGGAAGCGCAGCTTCGTGGATTCGAGCTCGTCAAGAAGGTTCATTTTCACCCGGATCCGTTCTCGATGGAGGAGGGCCTCATCACGCCTACCTTCAAATTGAAGCGCCCGCAGCTTAAAGCGCGCTTCCAAGCCGAGATCAAGCATATGTACGAGGAGCTCCAGTAACTAAAAATGCTGCTCTAGGCGCCGAGAAGCTAAGGCGCCGACAACGTTTGATCAAGTACATATTTTGACGTGCTGTTATCGCACATCCTACCACTGACTGACTGCATGGTACGCGTTTTTTTGTTTAGTGTTCGCAATGCCCTGCTTGCTACCTCTCTTCTTTATGCACTGGTGAATTCTTTCAAACGTCGTGAGGGTGAATCCAAAAAGCGATTTTAGAGTTTTCAAACATAATTTCAAGTAACATGTTGCAAAAATGGATTCTACAAATGAACCTGGGAAATTCTCTAGGAATGAAGTAGTGCTCGCAATGCTTCACGATTCTACTTGCCCAGCTCGATCTTGGTCTGTTGCTTCGACGCACTGAGTTCCAGCATTCCAAAGCCGGCCATGACCAATCCCGACCCGAGGATGCACTCCCACGGGAACACACGGCCGTTGATCGTGAGGTCCCATACCAAAGACAGCGGGATGGTCATCATGGCCCCCACGCTCGTGATAAGCGGAGTCGTCCAGCACAGCGCAAGTGATTGCAACACCGTGTACGCACCAGCCAACGATGCAGCTGCAACTAGTAAAAAGAGTCCCCATTCAGTTCCTGGCAATCCCAGAGGTTCGCGCATAGACTCCCATGGGCACACTGCGAACAGAAGACTTCCGATAAGCCATACCGGTATGGTCACCGCTCCACAAATGCCCGTCAGTGTGAGAATTGTGGACGCATCTACGATTTCTTCGCCGACAAAGACACGATAGGCGACCGCGTACCCTCCGACGATCATGGTTTGAACCACCACGAGCATACACGCCACTATGCTCGTATTTTGTGTAGTTTCCACCTCTCCGTCTTGGTAGATCGTGATCAGTGCGACACCGATGAAAGAGGTGAGGACACCACAGAGCTTCTTCAAACTCGCTTGTTCGTGGAGAAAGCACATGGAGAAGAGATACACGAAGAACGGGGCCGTGTTGCTGATGGACGTGCCAGCAGCGACGCTGACCATCCCCAACGCGGAGAACCACATGTAGTCGGCGATGATATAGACCGAGTTTAGCACCACAGCCATTTTCAGCAACTTGCGCAGCGGATGCAACGAGTGACGCTCCAGAACGGCTACGAAACCCCAGTTGTCGGCTCGCACACCGGAATTCTGGTCACGGACTCGGTGGTAGACGTACATCGCGGGCAGTAGTAGCACCTAAGCAAGCGACGAGCTTGTGTTAAACGCGGCTCGTATCATTGGTATTGCAGTTGTATTGTTACCGTGATGGCGTGGTCGAAACAAGTGATGAAAAACGGTTTCTCGAAATGGGTGGATGCCTGGAACGTGTGTTGGGTCAGTTTTTGCACCAGATTGAGGTAGAATAGTAGTCTAGGAACTCGCCTGAAGTGCCTGCGCCGTCTCTGACTGGGTCACGGATATCCACACCAACGCTAAAGACAAAAGAAAAGCTTCGTGAGATCTCACAACGTTTCCAGACAAGCATAGCGTGAATCGCACCAAAGATTGCGGCCAAACCGAGCCGATGGAGAAAAGTACGACGTCGCTCCTCAGAGGTACCGTGCAGTGGCTTCAGGAGTGGGTCGTACTCAGTGTCCCCAATAGTCAAAGTCATTTTTCGCCGTACAAGTGGTCTCAGTTGACCGGGGTGGATCTTTGAGCGAGGAAGTTGCGGAATGAGGATTTTTTTTTTTGGCATGATCGCCTATCGAATCAGGTTTGTGGCAAAGTATGTGGTGAAATTCAAAACGTCATGAAAGATGGCGTGGTGCACTACCTTTTATACAACGAAAACGCGTTTCACAGCAGAGGACAGTAGGGACGTAAAACTAAAGTGGATATGGCTCGACTATCAATGACTTTTCATGTACTACTTGGGTACACACAAGCACTTATTGTATCGGGCCAAATTCGCACCGTAGGAAACACGAACAAAGTAGCCTGAGTTGAAGTCTATTATATCTCCCTTGCTGTTTGAAGTCCATTTGTAGTATGCGTATATTCTGCTCTAAGAGCACCATATAAAATTGCTACCTTACGTAAAAGGAAATCAAGTGCTCTACACGTACACTAAGTGTACGTGTGTCACTTTTGATTTGTGGATGAACTTGATGTTGAAGAGTTATCGCAAGTATCTATTTCAAATTCTTGCGGTGGCATCTGAAACAGTACTCTATGCGTCATGTTGGATTTGTGGATGAACATGGTGCAGTACTTGCAAAGTGTTCAACAGTCCTAGCTGTTAAACTGCTCTGTTTTATATTGACATTGACTGCGTGAGCATTCACGAAACTGAGTGCTTGTAAACATATTCACACGATGTAAATCCTACTCGAGAATCGCAGGTAACAGCATGCGTATTACTTCGCACTGTGCGTGCAGTACGTACATGTAGCGGACGAAGAAGGAGAAGAAGAAGAGCGGCCTGAGATGATGTATCAACAGTGGGCACTCAAGACACTGTTGAATCGACAGTGTTGAAGTGACGTTTTACCTACACTAAAACACGCAGCAATGATGACGTCGTTGACATCTTTGCTTGCGTGTAAACACACAAACACACAAACACGTACATGCGGCGACGCATTTGTTCGAAAATGTCAAACTGTACATTAGCATATGACGCTGGCCGCGGCTCAGCGTCACTCGTACCGCATTTTGAAATTTACCGACAACTGACATCAAAGGCAGCATAATGGGCTGTCGTCCGATGTTCTTGCTCGATGCGGGCGAAGCGAAGGAGCTAATTCCTCTCAAAATACTCTTCATCGTCCACAACTACTGCTATTCGCTGGTCGCGTATTTACCGGTGCGTCAAAGTGTATTCGTTGTAGTAATATTTTGGCTAATATTTCTTCTACCTAGATCTTCTTCGAAGAGTCCAACTTCACCAAGAGCGAAATCGGTATCCTGCTCGCTATTCCATGTATATGTACGATCATCGGGCCTCCGATGTGGGGGGCGATCGCCGACGCGCTGCACCGACACAAACAAGTGCACGTATTTTGTCATATCACATCGGCCCTCTTCATCTTTGCCATCCAGTTCGTTAATTCGTTCCCGCTCATGTGCGTCACGGTCTTCGCTGCCTATTGCCAAATGGTTCCAACTCTCGCATTACTAGATCTCGCAGCGATGAAGCTCACGGGTCGTCATGGAGGCGACTTTGGTAAGCAGCGCGTGTATGGTGCCTTCGGTTATGGAGTCGGCGGCTACATTTCCGGTATGATGGCGTCCGCGGTTGGGATTAAGTGGTGCTTCACCATGATGCTGGGTGTGTCCTGCATCTCTTTGGCGCTGCTGGTCTTGTATATTCCTGCGGGATACGGAGATGACAACGATCAACCTCCACAGAAGGGACTCCTGCGAAGCAGTGTGAAACACATTATGCGCCGTCCAGACGTGCTCGTGCTCTTCGTCGTCGCTCTTGTGGCAGGTATCAGTGGAGGCTTTATCGATTCGTACTTATTTCTCCAAGTGTATGATCTATCCGACGACGGTGCTACCATTGTTAGCGTGCTCGTTGCCGTGCAAACGTTGTCCGAGATTCCGCTGTTCTTCATGTCCAGCGTCTTGATTGGGCGGTTTGGCACTGCTGGTTGTCTTGTTATCGTCATGGTCGCTTTTTTCATTCGTGACATTGTATACACATACATGGAGGAGCCATGGTACATCGTGCCACTCGAGATGCTTCACGGTGTTACCTTCGGTTTGCTATTGGCGTCATTAACTACCTATATCTATGATGCATCTCCGAAAGGTGCAGCTGGTACGATGATTGGTCTGCTTTCAGCGTTCATGCGTGGAATTGGAGCCGGCATTGCGTCTCTCGTTGGCGGCTACATTTACGATGAGTTCGGCGTTCCGACAGTTTGGAAAATTGGCGCTTACGGTCTTGTTCCGGCTTCACTTCTTCTTATTGGCGTATTTGCATGGCTGGCTCGTCGACAGTCGTCAACAACGGTAGATCTGGAAAAACAACTTGTGGATGAGGCTGATTCCACGTCTGAACTGAGTAAGGTTTCTCAAATTCAGTGACTCTGACATCGTTGCGTTGAGTACGATGAGGAGGTTAGCTTCATAATAATAATATTGTTAGGAGCTTGATAAGCAACGCAAATGTTATTACACAATACTTACAGTGTACACTTAACTATTATCATTCATTTACTACAAAGTACTCGAATCGCTTAATTATTTTCTTTGTGTTATAGTGAGGTGCAGCACTGTTACGCAATGCAATAACTGTCCAATTTTATTGTTCAACAAGTACAAGAATACTACTGTAATATTGGGCAGTTCATCGGGTTCACCATTACTCTGTAGTTTATTTTCAACAAGTAAAAAAAGAAGTAGTTCTTCGGCTTTACTGCGTACTTTATACTTTGCAGTAGTAAAAAGAAACTAAACAATCCTTCGGCTTTACTATTACTGTGCACTTGAATTACGCCGTATACTTCAGTAGTTGGATGCTCATGCCGACCCACCACTGTTAGTGCGCCTTGACGGCGTTTCGACACCAGCATGGACAAACCTCGACCGCGACTAACATTCAATTCATCAATTATATGCTCGACAACTTTCAATTTTTTAAAATAATAATTCTGATAATGTTGATCCAAGTAAATGGCGGGGATACCGATGCGAGTGATTCGCAACTCGCATTTTACGTAAGTTGGACAAACCAAGGTGCGTCAGATAGCAATGTCAATGTACATGTAATAGTGAAACGATTCAATAGTTTCGATGATAGCTGGAAAGTGAACAAAATTGGTTTTAGTCGAATAATTCGTGGTCGAAGCTGAAATTTCATATCAAGAAAACTTTTACAAACGAATTTTCAGAGCTGTGACCTATAATATTTGTTTATTTAAAGTATGGTAGACATGATGTAGTGGAAGCCCTAAGAGACAGAGGTCTACATGGAGCTGCTCCTTCTGTAATTACCATAAATTTGTGAAGGTTCAATACAATATCAAGAGATACAGACAGTATAGCGATGGACATTGACATAAAAACCTAAAGCAAAGTGATGTGTTTCGTTGCTTCTTGGTTAAACACGTCTGCTATACTATGGAAGATTAAGCGAAAAAGTCGTATGAAATTGTACCATGTCTGAATTAATTTATGTATCTCTCAAATCAACGTAAGAGACTTAGAAATTTTTGACAGAAAAACAAGAATTTGTTGGCGACGGGCGACAAGTAACCAATTGAAAACATTTTTTTACTATTATGGTTTGAATTGCACTTTCAAGGAGCTGTGGCGTCTGCGGAGCAGACACAGGACAAGGAAGCCCCAGCCTTCGAAATTGAGGTGAAGGAGTTTTGCTAAATTTCGGAGTCACTTCGAACGAAACATGAATATGTATTTGGTTTGGGTACAGTTACAATTAAACTCGTTATTTACTCTGAAACTTAGAATCTAGGTTTATTTGATGCGTGATGAAGCCACAGCATTGGTGGACTAAAAATAGTTTGACTGAAATACACGATTTCCGTTCACAACAAAATTCGGGTTTACGATTAAAAAAGAAGCTAATCCGTTGAGACGTCAACTATAATAAAAAAATGTGAGTTTCATACTTCAGTATATCGTTAAAAACTATTGTAGTATACCTCGCTAAAGAAAAGCGACGTATACTGTTATTATTAAGTAGCCTTGATTGCCAAGAGTGAAGTTGAATTAGAGAACTGCACCAATGGAACTGCAACCACGTGAACAGAGATTATTGTTGTAGCGCTCACAAACCTTTGATGGCTCGAAGTATTCCGCTTTGAGTGATTGAACTTCAGCTTTATTGGTGCAAGTACGATGTACTTAGTCCACGCACCATTTTAACGTCAAATGACGTCGTTCTTTCAATCGAGAACCGCCGAGCCAAACTGAGAGATCTTATTCAAAACCAGAAGTGTAATGCACTCACCATGACAATGTTTCGCTCTGAAGCCTTCTAATTAAGACAAACTGTCGAATTGACGATTTACAATTTGCTTTACAATTGGCGTGGCCATTGATTATGTATGGTTCGTCATGAATGATGATGTGGTACTTTGCACCACGTCACCTTTCCTTACCAACGAATGAATATAACATTAAAGATAACTCTGTGTAGTAAATGAAAAGAGCTGCTTATGCATTATTTCGTATTCAACGACAAGAACTTGGCTCCTTTGGTTTTGAATCAAAAATATGAACCTCCTCCCCTTCGCCAATCGCTTCCAGCGATGCGTTTTCGGCGAAGAACAGGTTCCGATCCTCTTCAAAAACGGTTGCTTGGAAATGTAGCTCCTGGAGGGATGTTGAACTTGCGAAGTGACGTACAAAATTATTACCCAATCTACGCATCAAATATAAGATTGACAATCTAATCCTTACGGTATTAATAATGCGTGTACAGTATCTTGCCTCTACGCACCATTCTCGGCTCAGCGGATGAATTCACTTTTCAATTTACCATCTCTTCCAAGACCAAGTACCGAACGCACTTAAGAGGCTGCATGCTGAAGTCGTGGTTCATCCCCGCTGTCTACGCGGCACTTTGTCGCGGTGCTCACTCGACCGTCTTGGCAGACAAGTGGGACGAACGCGCCGATGCCATCATGGCCACGTTCACGGAGGCAGACATTATCGGACAGATGACTCAACTCCATATCAACATGGTTCTAACGGATGACCTTCAGGTCGACGAAGACAAGGTTCGCGAGTATGGAAAACTACGTGTGGGATCGTACATGTCAAGTCCATTCACCGCCGGACCTAGGAACGGCACCTACACCTGGACGGTAGACGAGTGGCGCGAGCGTATCACTAAGATCCAAGACATTTCAATGGAGGAGAACGGCGGCCACCCGATCGTCTACGGTGTCGATTCGGTCCACGGTGCTAATTGGGTCGAAGGTGCCGTTCTGTTCGGTCAGCAGATCAACGGAGGCGCGTCCTTTAACCCCGACCTGGTCTACGAAATGGGCCGCGTTACGGGTCGTGACTCGGAAGCGGCTGGGATGCCGTGGGTCTTTGGACCGATTCTCGGTATCTCGCGTAACCCGCTATGGGCGCGCACGTTTGAGACGTTCGGCGAGGATCCGTACTTGAACTCAGTACTGGGCGACGCTATCATCCGTGGTCTACAGAGTAACAATCACACTGCTGCGTGCATGAAACACTGGATCGCGTACACGAAGACCCCTTCAGGACACGACAAGGATGCAGCGCAGGTAACGGACTACGACCTGTTGAACTACTTCTTGCCACCATTTAAAGCTGCGGCGGAAGCTGGAGCAATCAGTGCAATGGAGAACTACATTTCGGTCAACGGTATCCCAACCATCGCGAATGGTAAACTCATGAATGCTCTGCTGCGTGACGACCTGGGCTACGACGGCATGATGGTGTCAGACTACGCCGAGATCGAGCAGCAGACAGATTTCCACCGCACTGCACGAACCTACGCCGAGGCCGTTCGGTTGTCACTGACGCGCACGTCACTGGACATGAGCATGGTTCCCGATGACATCAGCTTTGTCAATGACACTAAAGCACTGCTAGCCCAGAGCCCGCAGTATTTGCAACGTCTGAAGACATCTGCTCGGCGTGTGGTCAAGATGAAGCTGAAGATGGGACTGTATGATACGCCCATGCCGGGCGAGCAGAACCTGGCATTGGTCGGCAATGACGATGACGTCGCAGCCGCACTTGAGCTCGCCCGCGAGTCGATCGTACTCCTACAGAACAACGACAGTACCCTTCCTCTTCCAGAGGGTGCACAGATCTTCCTCACGGGCTTCGCTGCCGACAGTATCGGTCGCCAGTGTGGTGGGTGGACTACCACTTGGCAGGGCTACACTGATCAAGACGGACACCTGCCCCACGGCATCACGGTGAAATCAGGTATTGAGCAGATCGTGGGAGACTACAGAGTCAATTACTTCAACGGTCTCAACCAGAACGGCTCGTATTCGGAATCCGATATTTCTGTGGCTAAAGAAATGGCAAGCAAGGTGGAATACACGATCGCTGTGATCGGTGAGGATCCGTACGCAGAGAAGCCTGGAGACATCGAAAACCTGGCGCTTCCTGCGGGACAAGTCGAATACATTAAGGAGTTGGCGTCTACTGGCACGAAAGTGATTGTCGTGCTGTTTGAAGGACGCCCACGTCTGCTTGGTGAGATCCCGCAAAACGTCCACGCGGTGGTGAACGGTCTACTACCATGTGAGCTTGGGGGCCAAGCCATGGCAGAAATTCTGTACGGCAAGGTGAACCCCAGTGGACGCATGCCGATCACCTACCCGAAGCGTCCGGCAAACGTCGAGATGACGTACAATCGCCCGGTTTCGTCAATGTGCCAGGACAGTTTAGAGGGCGGTGCATTCTACTGTGAAAACCAATGGGACTTTGGAACTGGTTTGAGCTACACCAACTTCACATACTCGGCGGTTCGCCTGAGTCGCAATGTTGTCCAGTCTTCAAGCGAGTCGGTGGATGTGTCGGTGGATGTGACGAACTCGGGAAGTATGGCTGGCAAGGAGACCGTGATGTTGTTCCTGATTCAACCATATCGCTCGCTTAACGTGCCAGAGATGAAGCAGCTCAAGAAATTCTCAAAGATCAGTCTGGAGCCTGGACAGACACAGACTGTCAACTTCGCGCTAACGGCAGACGACTGGAGCGTGTATTACCCTCAAATGGGCCACGGGCTCAAGAGGGTAGCGGAGGACTGCGACTACGTCGTAGCCATCAAGCCGGAGACGGACTGTGACGTGTATAACGAGACGGCGGTGGTAAACCCACTGTGTGCCACGTTCACGTTGAGCACTGGAGACTACCCGTTCGGCTCGCTGGAGGAGCCGTGGTGAGGGGATGGAACACTGGCTTGTGAGTTGTCCGTCGAAAAGTGAAGACAAGGCTACTTTTACCATCTACTTTTGATGATAAAAAGTGCTCAAACCAATTGTGGTAATTATTACTGGTATTGCCTGCGAGTTATGTTATTCGTGAGCTCCTTTGCAAATCTCTTTTCTTTCCTAACCATGTTGGTCTCGGGATGATAGCCGGAATTTGCGTAGGCAGCAATTTTTTTTTCTTCTTCTTTTTACATATTAAACTTGCGTAATAAGTTACCAGGTCGTATGCGGCCGCGTTGGCCAATGAGCTCCGATTGAGACAATTACTATACTGTGGTTTTTGGTAGTTTTTTGATAGTACACGCTCGGTTGTAAGAGATGCACACATAAATTTATTTTGATCTAATTATGATCTGCATGTTTCAACTTGCAAATCCCAGTATAGTGAACGCACAGTGCGAACTACGGAATGCTAACTGTAGTAATCAAACTTCCACTTGATTGAATTGATATTTTGTTATGCGTCACTCAGTCGTCACTCAGCTGCCTCTACTCCGACAAATATTAATACTAACATCGAGCAGGAATATTTATCCAGTTTCATGGAGTTTCTTTAGTATTATATATGCTGCGTAAGTGCATAATATGCAATCCTCCTCTTGAGATTCCTCGATACTACTACACGTCATTGGATTGGTGACAGCTTGTTCATCTCAGAGGAAGAATCAATCTCATCCACTAGATGTTTCTCCACCTCTGTCGAATTTTGCCGGCGAGCCAGCAATTCAAATACACCAATAAGAAGAAGTGAAGCCGGAACGAGACCGAAAGCGCCAATCTTCCAAATTGTCCGAGCACCGTAACCATCGTAAATGTAGCCGCCAACGAGAGATGCAATGCCAGCCCCAATACCACGCATGAACGCTGAAAGCAGACCAATCATCGTTCCAGTTGCCCCTTTCGGAGATGCATCATAGATATAGGTAGTTAATGACGCCAATAGCAACCCGTAGGTAACTCCGTGAAGCATCTCGAGTGGCACGATGTACCATGGCTCCTCCATGTATGTGTATACAATGTCACGAGTGAAGAAAGCGGCCATGACGATGGCAAGACAACCAGTAGTGCCAAACCGCCGAATCATGACGCTGGACATGAAGAACAGCGGAATCTCGGACAACGTTTGCACGGCAACGAACACGCTGACAATGGTAGCACCGTCGTCGGATAGATCATACACTTGGAGAAATAAGCACGAATCGATAAAGCCTCCACTGATACCCGCCACAAGAGCGACGACGAAGAGCACGAGCACGTCTGGACGGCGCATAATGTGTTTCACACTGCTTCGCAGGAGTCCCTTCTGTGGAGGTTGATCGTTGTCATCTCCGTATCCCGCAGGAATGTACAGGGCCAGCAATAGCAACGTAATACAGGACACACCCAGCATCATTGTGAAGCACCACTCGATTCCGACAGCTGAAGCCATCATACCGGAAATGTAGCCGCCTACTCCGTAGCCAAAGGCACCATACACGCGCTGCTTACCAAAGTCGCCTCCATGACGACCCGTAAGCTTCATCGCTGCGAGATCCAGTAATGCGAGCGTTGGAACCATTTGGAAGTACGCCGCGAATACGGTCACGCACATGAGCGGGAATGAGCTCACGAATTGGATCGCGAAAATGAGTAACGCTGACGTTATCTGGCACATAACGAGTACTGGTTTGTGGCGATGCAATGCATCAGCCACTGCACCCCACATCGGAGGCCCGATGATCGTACAGAGGCATGGGATAGCGAGCAGGATGCCGATCTGACTCTTGGAGAAATTGGACTCTTCAAAGAAGATCTAGGTATTCGTAACAAGATAGTCAATATTAAGAGATTGGCCTCGTGTCCGTTTCGACGCACCGGTAGATACGCGACCAGAGAGTAGCAGTAGCTGTGAACGGCGAATAAAATTTTGAGAGGAATTAGCTCCTTCGCTTCACCCGCATCGAGCAAAAACATCGGACGGCAGCCCATCGTTTCTTGGTTTGAGGCGTTGGTTGGGGATTCTAGAGTGAGATGAGATTGACGGTTCGGTGAAGGAGTTTTACACACAACAATGATGACGAAGCTGTGTAAACCAGAAAAAAAACGAGATTTCAAGTGTCGACAAATTTCTCTTTTGCGGAGCAGCAATGAATTACAAAGGGATCGATTACAACTGTATCGGTTTGATGTATTCTGGGTCTTCCATGAGAACAAAATATGAAAGGGAATTTGAAGACAAAATCTTCTTTTACTGAGAGCAGTGATTATTCTCTGTGCCATCCGCCAAGAGTATACAATCGGTCGAGTCATACATGTATAGATGGATGGAATTCGCCGTGCGAATTGCACTAAGATTATTTGACGATTGTGACTGAAAAAACCAGTTAAGGGCCGACGCAAAATTTAACCAATGATATCATCTCGTTTCAAGTATCAATCTTGTATTGGTAATTAAACACTAAATACGAAACCTTTCAATCTATATCTGTGGATTTGATGTTGAACACACACACGCAAACCGTTGGTGTCAAAAAGAGCTCGCATCCAGCAATATGCCATGGCTCACCAACAGACACTGCGCATAGCACTGATCATGCACATGCATGCATTGAAATACACAGCGCCCTCCCTAAGATGTGGTCACGCGAGCTGCCTTGGCAGTCACGCGCTGATTTCTTTGGCTGGGCCCTCAGCAAGACAAGAGCTGGCTACAGCAGGAATGTTTTGTAGGAGTTCGCTCATCTTCTCTCACTCTCCAGCACTATAGTACTTGTTTCTCGCATTTCTATCTACAATATTATGCATTCGAAGCATACAAAAATATACCTTTTTTATTGTTTGGCATGTAGCTGCCATAGAAATGCTCCGAAGTCTGTAGCTGCCATAGCAGCAGCTAACAACGTTACGCGATGGGTCGCGATTGACATTATATTATGAAGTACCAGCAAAAGAGTCAGGACTGGATCCTGACCTTGAGACCTGAAATGCGTAGGTAACAGCAAAAAAAAAAAAAAAAAAAAAAAAGGCTGATATCTTCAAGATATCATAATCAGGTCATGACCTAGAACTACGCTTCCTATTGGCCAGAAAAAGCATCAAATATTGTGGCCATCAATTGTCGTCGCGCATGCAGACGCAGGAGATGTTTGACATTGCTGTGTATACAGCATACTGACTACGAAGGCCACGGAGGTGGTGAGTACGGCGTGCAAGGAGGTGATATCGGTGTCTGTCATGGAAGGTATCGAGGTGCTGAGGATTCTACGGCGCTCACGTACTTTTGGCTTGAAGACGTTTGCTGTTGGAACCTATTGGAAAGCGGTAGAGATCGGAGTCAGCGTACACGATCGTACAGACGGAGTTGGCGTCAACAGAGGAGATGTTATAACATTGTAGTCTGTGTACACCTCAGTGACGCCGTAGCTGACAGAGGGGTTGACTCTAGACACTACGGCGACACAGTACCCAAGTCCAACGACTAGGCCATTGAGATGGTGCTTGAGTTGCCACCCGCGTGCGAGTCGGCGGGGGCTGTAGACATAATTTCCCGACAACGATATCAGTGACCAGCTACAGAATACCACCAGCAGCAAATTACCACTGTGGTAATTTTTTTAAACTAAATATTTATTAATTATATAAAAATGAATAGTGTGATTTCTTGAAAGCATCAATGCTTCTTCTTCCGCGTTCCATAACGACTTGTTCCAACGCGGCTTCGACTGAAAGCCCTCCATCTACTAGATCCTGTACGTATTTTTTTACACAGCGGCGTCTTGAGAAATATTTAGACTCCTTTGATGACTGACGTCACTTTGTATCGTACGTGGAGATACTCAGTAGATGGTTTGTCTGCGACGCCATCGTGCCGCTCAGCCCAATGTTCCTTTACGGTTGAGATACCTCTGCTCATCGAGTAATTTGGCGGTATGTTGGTATTGGTGAGTTGAGTTTTACTGAGTGTACTAGTATTCGGTTCGCTTGTTGCAGGACATTCAAGATCAGCGGCATCAGATTTGCCGGGGGTCCCCACTGGCAATAAACGAAACGTCATGTTTCCTTGCTGCATCGAGGTAAGGCTATCTCGAGTTTCTTTGAGAAGCTGTAGCATTTCGGTGTGATGAGAGTCTAATTTATTCATTGTTTTAGAGTAGTAATGTGCTCCGATAATAAAGGCATTGCAAGTTGAAGATTTCTTTCCACTGGACATTGGCCACTGGACGCACCGGCTTGAGTCCTATATTGCTGAAAGGATTCTCCAAAGATGGTATGCTCGCGAATGCGACGCGGGAGATGATCGAAAATAACGGCGCAATCTTGCAAAAGAACAACTCTAAGGTACTGGAGCAGCCTGAGAAAACCCCGTACAGCCAAATTGTCTTCCCAATTGTGGTCTAAAAATTGTTTTTGGCAATTTTCGACTTCAGAAAAAACAAGTCGCTTTAAATCTAGTGGGGATCAACTGTAGCTCGCTCTAAACGTGCGCGAGCGGGATGATCAGACAGAGCACGCTTGGCTTCGCGAGCAAGTGGGGCGCTATAGACTGCCTTGCAGTTGTCCATACCCCATCTACCGTGCCGTCGAGTTTGCGATATATCCACGTCGGCTGCCTCAAGTTGTCGAACGCCTTGTTGGCGGTTAATGTTTTTTTGTAAAATGTGAGACCGAGGTGTTCGAACACAGCTTCGTAACTGTTTTTATGGGTAGTATATGTAATTGACTGAGTTCTCTGTCGGCCTCGTAAGAACTTAATATTATACCAGTCTTTGGCTTGCTTGAACGACGGAAATGACTCTTGCTTCACATGGAAAAGCTCGAAAGATACAAAGCTACACCTCCGACTGGACAAACGTGTACATCTTTGTTACGCATGTACCCGACATGCTGTAACTTGCCAAAAGTGTTGGTCTTGCCATGTTAAATTAGTAAAACTAGAGCAGTACAAGGTTGAAACCCCTCCCGGTTTAGCTTCTGCAAAAACATGTCAGCTAGCTCCAAATCCCGCACATTCTCACCACGCAACAGCCCAAAACGAGAAAGAAGAAAGGCGGCAGGCCTTCGTAAATCATCCAACGTTAAAAAAGTGTCACAAATTTGTTGAAATTGGTTGGCAGAAGAGTAGCCGTCTACTAAGGATCCTATTCCTCTGTCCTCGTAATTCTTTTTTTCGCGTCTGTGTCGACTGAGCTCGGACATTCTTTATGAGCTGTTTGACTGACGTCGTTCTGGGATGCAGGTTAGAATTCGTACGCAGGGTGACTTGCTGGTTGTATAGATCGACAATCGCATTCACATATTCATAAACAGTAGATCCTCCGATAACTTTATCGTTGTTTTTCTTCGACTTTCGTCCTATTACACACTAGACAGGAAAAGATGAAGTTTCCCACCAGTTACTGTGTCACGATTTCGAAAGTTTCTTCCTGCGCACCACTGCATAAACTAGTTTTAGTATCGGTCGTACTTTCGCTTTGTATTGACTGGCCGCGATTCCAATGTTGTCTGTATTGTCGCCCTCTCGCTTTCTTCGATCTGAAATTGCACAGTGCAATCGTGTTCTGCTTGGGCTGGGGTCACAGCCGCTGCTGCAACAGCGCAAGAGCGAATGGACACCCCCGAGCTCCGAGCCATCGTCGTTGTGAGCTGAGCTGAGCTAGTATTTCTCAACTTTGAGGTAAAAATAGTATTTCTCAAATTGGTGGTAAAAATGGATATTTCAATTAGGTCTAAAATTTAATAATGACTCGGGTCAGGACCGATACTCATCAAGTACCTCAACGGTGGTACCTGTATGAATAAAGACACTATGCTAATTCGTGGAGGTCGAAGATTATTGAGTTTCATGTGAAATCTAATCGCTGTGGGTCAGACGCGCAAACATCGCCACCAACTGTCATTTTGCTACTAAAATCAAGATTAAACGCGGCCCTTAACTGATCGAGACTGAATTTGAGGAATCAATTTCAGCACCAGATTATTCTCTTATTCTTATTGGTTGAGAGATGAAAAAATTATCAAAAAATAGCAGAGACTGTCAGCTTTCCATACCTGCAAAGCTTTGTGATTTTGCGGTAGCCGTTCCCAACTTATGGGTCTGTGAAATGATCTCGGCGGACATCAACTGGTTTTTCCCCTAATACCAAAACAATAAAACCTTTCATATAACGCATGCTCGATAGGAGTTCTAAGTGACCGCGTACCCATCCTAAATAATGCTAATACAACGTAGACTGCTTGTTACAAGTAGTAGCAGTGCTTACGGTTCCATGGCGGCAGTAAACTACTACGTAATCTGCTGGTCTGGATAAAAACGGCTCTGGGCGGCGATTTGAGATCTCCACCGGATTTGTCCACCTCACTTTTCAACTCGTCAGTCTTCCAGTGCTCCCTGCCGTCGAGAACAATGCGTCTAGCCAACGTTCTCTTGGTGGTAATTGTCGTTGTCATTGCAGGCGTCAGCACCACTTTAGCTGCTTCTGACAAGTCCAGACTCTTAAGGTTAGCAACCTCCACGGCAAATGCCAACGGCTACAGCACCAACATTGGTGGCGACAATAACAATGTCGAAGAACGCGCCATCAACTTGTCCGATGCCAAGCAATGGATCAAGACCATGTTCAAGAATTGGTACCAAAAATGGCTCACCATGAGGCACGAGAAAGCGGCCAAGGAGCTAGCTAACGATGTCTCCCCGGGAACTATCGAGAAAATGCTTCAGAACAAGGCTTTCCAGCGCGACATGTTTAAGAAATGGAACAAGTACAGAATGGAGGACATCAAGCTGAAACTGGGAGAAAACATGAACAACGCCGATGTTGCAGCAATGCTGCTAAATTACGTCCAGAACTATCGAGTTTACCGAAACAAAGGCTGGAAAGTTGTTCAGTAAATATCTGCTCGTGCTTGATCGGCAGTGCCGCCACCCATCGTCTGCTCAAACCAGAACGAGAATACACAAGATTGAGTCGAATGGAGTTGTTTTGATTTGATTTTAGTTCGTATCAGCCGCCGGTTTTCACTGAACAACCAGCGTCTAGTCATTGTTATTATTGTACTTCTAGTATTCTCCATCGATGTACGGCTCGGCAGTGAACATCGTCATCGTAGGGCTCAAGCCTGCCTTCAATGGGTTCTTAATCTCGTACCAGCAAGTAAAGGTAAAGTCTACGCCCTTCTCCACGCTATTGGACCCAGAGAACAAGACGTTGGCCACAATCTGCATTTTCACATCGTTTTGTGACGAGTGGTTCGATGTCGACGCTATACGAGAAGCCTTACCGTAGTAGCACTTGGCGACCAGATACGTGTTCATGTTGCAAACATACAGTGTATGCGCCGATCTCACGGCACCTTTCGCAAAAGCAACTTTGCGTTAAGCGTATCTTGGTATCCTGCTGCGTGTGCTTTAGGTCCAAGTTGTTCCAGTCAACAGGTTCACCTGGCCGGAAATGAAGCGAGTGGAGGACAGCCTCGATTTCAGGACAGTCACCAAGTTTACCCCAGTCCAATGGACTCATTTCGGGAGGCACAACAACTTTTGGTGCCTTTTCCTCTTCGCCGTCTCCTTCCAGCACGTGAGATAGTTTTGTTGTGGGGTGATGAGTTCTTTAAGTGTCAGTAGCGTCTACACCAAGCTGGGAGCTTGCAAGCACGCTTCTTTCGTTACTTGCTGAATGGAAGAGCTTGCCGACGATCGAACTGTATTCGCAAAACGAGCTGCATTTCCTGCTTTCGACAGAGAAACTCGCTCGAATCTTCGTTTATCTATCATGACTTTTAGCTTTGTCGAATTCTTCCTGAAGGATGGCCGCTATCTTCGCCGTGTAAGCTTGGTTGAATTTCAATGAAATGGAAGTCAACTCCTCGACGCGCCATTTCTCTCATTTGAGCACAAATATCTGGGTTACGTTGAATTTGAAAGAGATATCTTTTGTCATCGCCCCATCGCTAAATCTTCTCCCGTGACATAATGAATCACTTACAAGCACAATTCGTCTCGCCTCAGCTTCAAAAGGCATCGCTAATGCTGCTTCAAGTTCACCGGGCATGTCTTCGGGGCCGTCGCCTCCTCCAAATGCCTTGAGTGAAGATATGAGATTTCGAGATACTAAAGGTCAGCAGTCGTTTATCACCATCACAAAAATCACGATAGGCGATAAATCCCTACCCGAACATTTGTACAGGGGTGGTCTTTCTTCACATTGTCAATGATCGACATGATCGCAGTTTTAGCCTCAGCATTCCAAGGACCCATCGATCCCGTATAGTCCATTACGATCACGAGCTCAAGTGTACTCGTCGTCGCATAACTCAGCTGAATTTCCTTCGCAACTTTCTGGATTCTGCTCTCCATCTCGCTTCGGATGACGCTAAAGTGCTCCATTTGAGTTGCTTCACGTTCCACAGCAGCCAATCTTCTCTTTAGAAGCTCAACGTTATCCTCAAAAACCGTGTGGCATTCACCGTCATGGCTACACCAGCCGATTCTGCACGAGAGCTTCAAGAGCTTCCTTTTGCCCATTTGCTCTCGCAGCTTGGCCAGCTCCGCCTCAGTCGCGTGTGCTCAAATTGAACTGGCTGACTTGGGCTTAGACGCAGCTACATTCACGGTCGAGTCAGTAGCCGATACACTGACAATTCTCATGCTTTGTATCTTCTCTTGTAGCACCGCCAACTTCGCCTCTGCTGCTTTCACCCGAGGTGAACTCTTTAATCGCGAGAAAATCATTCTTCACCGCCATGCAAGCCACTGTTATCTTGGACCCATTTCACCACTCGATAGCAAATTAAAGAAAAAGCTCCCGGGTATTTGCTCTTTTGTTGTTGTGGTTTTTCTAAGAATTCTTTGGACGTCGGTATCCCATAATTTCAACTGGCATGACACAGCTTAGATATCAAACTATTATGACATTGTTATCATAAATTCCAACTGTCATGACAGCAACCCAACTGTAGGCCATTACGATGGTGATAGCGCCTTCCAAGTTGCTTGCTTGAGCTGTTACGACCAACGGAAGTTGCAAAGAGAAGGGGGCTTGCTCTCTTTTTCACTCCATCAAACAGCAGTGGCTTTTTCTCCACAACAAATCAGCACTTTGGAGAAACTGGACCAAATGAAACCATAACCATTTAAGCAAGCTGGACGTCCCCGTGCGTAATTACTTCTAGAAGAGTCCCCGGCCTTCATCCTCATCACTCTTTTGCCAAATCAACAATGGATAGCGTTTCCACCCAAAACGAGGTTATTGAAATGTTGCCGAATGGTACCGGTAGTTCCCCTCTCGACCAGCTCTTGATATTAGTAGTTTTCGGATCGAAGAATTCAGTTGAACAATGCAGCTTCTAAACGCGCGATTCTTTCGTCCAATAGATATCCACGTTGCTTTGCCATCCACTCGGGAGAGCTGACAAAGCAAAAAAACACACACAGTGTTAGCAACATTTCTGAATACTGCAAATATGAATGACACTGTATCACGAACCCGGATAGATGGTCACTTAGGCAGTCCATGCAAGGTTGGCTAGCGCGTAAAGAGGACCCGAATAAAAGATTCTACCAGACGCAAAAATTCAATGTCAGATAACGTGACGCAACTGCCTTTAGCAAGCCACTTACCTCGGTTGTATGACTTAGCACAGTGCAGAGAGAAGATCCGCACTCGGCCTCAATGTCATCGCTGGGAACCCCCAGGGGCTGAATTCTGAGCATTGCAATATCATAACATCAGCAACATCGTCGCTCGATCAGTACTAGAGACATATCTTACGCGTAAACGGCGATTGAAGGCAGCGCTTCCCGTTCAAACTCAAGTCTGTGAACGCAGCGTTTTGTCAGCGTATATCGATCGTTCAAGAATGTGACAGCTTAAATGTACCTGACGAAATTGCAGGGAAAGAATGGCAACATCATCCTCACCTCCCGACTGTGCGGTAAGTTTTCCATTCGCTTTACTGCATCAACCCACCGTTAGCAGACACGATAACCATTCCGTCACATGACGTACCATGAATATAAGATCTTGGTCGGTTCTCCACCGCTACACTCACGCTCACGACACACGCATTCTACCACAAAACACTCAGCATCCCACTAGACTTAAAAGTATTCCAACTTCTCGTCTCCTACCTTATTCAGTATCCGAATTTCCGACAACAGCGTCTTTGTCTCTCTATTTAGCCAGCATGCAATCACCAAGTAACCGTTAGTATAACTTTCTCCTCACAGCAAAAAAAATGCCACTTTTGTCACCACTCACAGCGCCAATACTAGCGTTTCCTTGGGGCTCACGTAGCTCCTCCAGCACGAGCGCGTCGAGTACTGTAGCAAGTGGTTGGTGGAACCTGTGCCAGCTGCGCTTGTGGCCGATCGGACCTGGAATCCAATGGCCTTCACTCCCTCGTTTCTTGCATCCTGCCGCTGCCCTCGTCGCTTCTTGTCCGACATTGACCTCGTTTTTGGCGCTTCAACAGTGCAACCGTTTCAAATTTTGAATTAGAAATGGTAAAATGTGTATTTCTAACCCAAATTGAAGTTCGAGTGATGTAGTCCACATGACTCGTACTTAACCTGACGGCAGTTAGCAAAGCTCCGAATTCGATCGCATCCGACCGCGTCGACGTCCTTGCGTCGCTCTTGCTGTGTCTCCTAGAGGCTACACCCGCTCGTACGCGTCTACATCCTCTCCTCAAGGGTCTCCTTCACGTCTGCATACCCAACTCATGTCTTTCGCGTCGTTCCCGGCTCCCCCATCGGACGATGTCCAACTAGACAAACAGCTCTATACTATGATCGAGCTTGAGGGCAACCGCTACCGCGCCTTCTTCGCCAAACTGAGTGGGGGCCATGGCTCATTGATCTCCCGCGACGCCGCACTCGAGTTCTTCCGCAAGTCCAGTCTCAGTGAGGAGCAGGTGCAGGAACTCTATGCTCGCTTAAAGGAGCTACAACTGCTCCGGGACCACGATCACATGAACGAGACGGAGTTCGTCATGGGCATGCACTTCATTGTGTGCATGACCAAGCGTAACCTGGTTAAGATCCCTCCCAAGTTCCCAAACTACTTGTTCCCGACGCTGGATCTGACACCCGAAAGGCAGCAGAGCTTTGACTTCCCGAGCCCCGAGGAGCACTCGGACACATCTAAAGCATCAAGTGGCACGCCACTAGTGCCTCCTCCTTCTATGGGGTTGATGGGGGCTACTGATGCGTCTATTTCGTTCACTGCTACGTCATCTGTGACCTCTGGAGCCCGATTAATGGACGCCAAGTCACTGAGTGAGTTGATGAATACTGAGATTCGTACTAAACAACATGAAGCGGAAGTGTTGTCTAAGGTGGATCAGTCTGAGGCAAGAGCGTTGCAGAGCTTGCACGCGTGTGTGGAGCGTATTGCTGACCAGGTGGACGGACTGGGCTTCCCCGTTCCAAGTTCGGCGAGGTCACTGGATGCGTTGGATGATCTGAGAAACTTGCTGCAGAAGCATGTGCACGCAGCCAAGCAGGAGATTCAAAGCATGCAGATTGATGCCCAGATGAGGAGTGTGGCGTCGGAGGTGGCACAAGGTGAAAGCCGAGAAGATCCGATGAAGGCCACAAGTATCTTGACGCAGGAGCTGATGGCGCTGCAACACCAAACTGCCCAACTGATGGCAAAGAAAGCGGATGTCGTCGGACGTCTTGTGGCTGTGAAGGCGGGTGGGTCTGCAGCTGGAAGCATTATTCAGCAGTCGAGCGGTCCGGGATTTGCAGGAGGGTTGGAGTCAAAGAATCCTGCGTTTGCCTTATCGAAAGGTGCGCTAACGGTGGGAGAGCTAGGCACAGTCTCGGCCTCAACCACACCTCCGAAGAACGTGGACCCCTCTTCTAGTGGTGGCTGGGGAACCTTTGGTGCCACGCCAAACGACCCTCCTCCTGCTTCAAATGATCCGTTCGCATTTGGATCAGCTCCAGCTAAAGTTGCGGTTGATACTAAAAAGCCAGATGCCCCCGAAAATGATTTTGCTTGGGGCTCGTTTCAATAAAAAAAAAAAAACTAAATTGTTGATTGGAAAAATCCAACTTCAAAGTATCCACGTGATGTTTCTCAAACAAAAATGCGTTCCATTCAAGTGGAGTTAATGCACCCGGCCTTCAAGGACTGTCAGAGTTGAAATTTCGCTGTGTTAGTTCTGATGATCATCTCCCGATTTCCGTAGATTTCCGTATACACAGAGGACTGGCATGGTCTCTCTCATCGGGTGGCGATTGAAGACACTGAATATTGATATAAGGTATCACGTGGCTGGAGAAGCAACCTGGATCATTTCGTCCTGCCCAAACTTGAAGAATTTATGAGTATTTTCGAGCATGACTGAGAGGACACAAGACGTTCGACCAGGCACGGACGCAAGAGATTTCATTTTCGCGCGCTAGTTGCTGGCGCTACATTGAACAGTTTTTCAGTTCGCAGCAGTGTGTGCAGTTCGACAAATTAAGGTGGTAGCCACTCTAGAGTGCGGATCTAAGGGCTCCAAGAAAGCAATTGTATTACTGCCACAGCTCTAATCCGATGTAAGAAGATAAACCTAGTGTTGCTTTCTTTTGTGTGTTTGGAGCTCATTTAATACACGAGTGGAGGGCTCTAGTAGTCCTAACCCAAAGCTATTGTAGCTTCCAGCTGGTGGGGGTAACCAGCAGCGTAGATCTCAACAATGAAGCGCCGGTGCCTAAAGGCTCAGGCTTCACCAAATTCAGGATACTCTGTGAACGGAGACTCATGCCCCAATACCGGATGGGAGAGCTTCAGAGTCAGACTCTTCTCGATTCTCTAAGATTACTGTGAGCCAAATTACTTGATTATATCTCCAATGTCGCCAGGCACAGAACAATCGAGTCCCCAGGGCTTGACCTTTTTTTTTTTTTTTTTTTTTTTTTTTTTTTTTTTTTTTACGAAGGATCGACTATCAAAACTGCTAAGGTAAACATGGCCTGCCACACGGCACTTGCTACAGTAAGGTGTGTCAGGTCGTGTCTTCACATCATCGACGAAAGTTCATTTGCTGGTGCCGTTCATATCTCTAATGACAAATGGAGCCCACGATATTTGTTCACGAGGTGCAGGCGGTAGTGACGGCCAAGATTATTATGATAGATCCGAGACCCGGGGGCTCTGGTGGAAGGAAAATGTCGACTGAGTAGAGTCTCCGATCCATTTTCATATTTGCCCTCAAGAGCAAAGTAGAACGACATGAAGTTCGTCTACCCCGCCACCGTCCTCTTCCTTCTGGCAAGTGCTGCTGTGGCCAACCAGGCCCAAGGAGGTGCTACCAATTGCAACGCTAAAACTTCGCCTTCAATTACAACGGCCAGTACAAGCACGGCTGGGTCCAGCGCGGAGATGACCTCCTCTACTACTACTTCTCCTGTGTCGGCTGCATCAGCTGTTGATGCCTCGGTTGCTACCGCTACCAGCGCAGGCTCCATTGGTGCAGAAGCCGACGACTCAAGCGTGCTCTTGAAATCAGAGTCGGCTTCGGCTTCTACAGACTCGTATACTGCTTCATCATCCGATGTCTCCACGCAATATTCTTCGACGACTTATTCTTCGTACGGGTCCACGGCTTCAAGTGCTGCCAGTGCAAACTACGCCACGTCCACGGAGGCTAGCTACTCCAGCCAGGCTGCTAGTGAGACTACTGGCCAATCCTCCTCTACTTCCAGCGAAGCGATTGAGGCAGCGTCGTCCAGCGCTGCTGCTACGACGGATTCAAGTAACACCAATACGACCACAACCGCTGCTTGCACCCTGTCGGGAACTTACTCAGAAGGCACAGATGTGTCTTCATGCAGCAGCATCGTCATCAGTGACCTATCTGTGCCCAAGGGGGTCACTCTTGATCTGACAGACATCGCCGACGGTGCTACCATTACGTTCGAGGGTACAACCACATTCGGGGAGGAAGAATGGGATGGCCCACTGATCCTACTAACAGGCAATGACCTCACAGTGACCGGATCGGGCACTCTTGATGGTCAAGGATCTTGGTACTGGGAGAAAGGCACGTCAATCTCGAAGCCCGTGTTCTTCCGTCTGAAAAAGGTCCTGTCGTCCACACTCGAGAACTTCAACATCAAGAACTCGCCGTATCGTACGTTCAGTATTTTGGACTGCGAAGACACTACGCTTACGGGTCTGACTCTGGACTCTAGTGCTGGTGATGGCACTGCTAAGAACACGGACGGCTTTGATCTGAGTCGCAACGTTCGACTTACGATCTCGGACTGCACCGTGTACAACCAAGACGACTGTCTCGCCATGCAGTCCAGCAACGACACCACCTTCTCGGGCAATACTTGCAGCGGTGGTCACGGTATCTCGATCGGTTCACTTGGCGGTGATTCGGTGACCGAATCGGACATTGTCAGCGGGCTTACTGTGAAGAACAACAAGATCGTGGACAGTGTCAACGGCATTCGTATCAAGACGATTATCGATCTGTACGGGACGATCACCGGCGCCACCTACACCGACAACACGCTGTCGAATGTCGAAAACGCCATTGTGATACACTCGGATTACAGTAAATCGGAGGGTGGCTACACTGGTGTCGCTACCAGTAAGGTCGAGATCACTGACATCACAATTTCAGGTCTATCCGGCACGGCTAATGACATCTACGATATTCTCGTGAACCCCGACGTAGTTTCGGGCTGGACGTTCTCGGACATTACGGTGACCGGTGACACGGGCAATTGCAGTGGTGAGCCTAGTGGAGTAGGCTGCTAAGCTGGTGTTGGAGATCAAAAACATCTTACATTTTGTAGCGTAGAATGACGTAAAAAAAAAGACTGAAAAATAATCCTGTGGTAACAAAAAATATTACTCTGAGTTTCATCTTCAATTACATTCACAAAAGTGCTCAGTCATACTTTTCGGTGCCTTCTCAAACGTTTGCAGCTTATGATGAAGCCGCAGGCGATAACGGGGTCATCGGCGTCACTTCAACATCCAGAGGCCCCTTGACCGGGATGGTAAGCGAGAATTCATACGTGAGCTTCCAAGGATCCTCGACGGTCTTGATATCAAATTTGCTGAAAAGTGTAGCCATGGCCAACTTGATCTCCATCAGGGCAAACTTCTGACCGATGCACACGTGCTGACCCGATCCAAAGCCGCTAAACACATACGGAGACAGCACGCGCAGCTTGCCCGTTTCAGGGTCGATCATCCGCTCAGGCTTGAACTCGAGCGTGTCCTCACCCCACGTCTTCTTGTTGCGAGCATTGCAGTAGGACGAGACCATGAGAGTCTGACCCTTCTGGACAAAAGTTCCGTCGACTAGAGTCGTATCTTGCATGGCTTCACGCACGATAAAGCCCGTGGACGGGTGAAGACGGATGTTTTCCTTCACTACAGCCTCCAAGAACACAAGATCGCGGATCTGTTCCTGTGTAGGGACCTTGATCTCCCCCGTGAGTAAACCAGGCAGCTTCTGCTTCATCTCTTCGCGGATCTTGCGCAACACTTCAGGATAACGATTCATATTGACGATGAACCAGCCCATACTATGAGCCGTCGAGTCCTTGCCAGCAAACACAAACGTCATGACCATATCGCGCATAATAGTAGCATCATCATCTTCAATATGCATGTCTTCGGTTTGCTTCAGTCTCTTCTCCATGAAGAGGGTGATGAGATCTCTGGCTTCCATCGTTTCGCCCTTAGCTGCAAGCTCCGCCTTCTTGTTCATCGAGTCCAATATCACTTTACGGATAAAGTCGTGCATGATCTTGGTGTTATCCATAAGGATCTTCTCCCACCCGATGTTCAAGTACTTTTTGAGCTCCCAAAGCCAAAGTGGCGACTGAATACGCACACCGAAAGCCACTGATCCTTCATTGAAAGCCTTGAGGAATTCGTGGTCCTCTTCGCGGTTTGGACTGTTCTTAAGTGTATCCATCTCGATTCCAAAGCCGATTTTAGCGATAGCATCCATCGTGAAGTGACTCAGCTCTTCTTTGATACTAAACGCCTGGCCACGCTTCGAGTAGATGGTCAAGACGTCCAAGAAGACGCTTAACTTCTCGCATACAGTCGTTTCCATGACGTCTCTCATCATCTGCATAGAGAACAAATGACTGGCTGTCTTACGGTGGTAGTACCACGGATCACCGTCGGAGATGACCATACCGTTGCCAAAGATGTCGTAGCTGATGTACTGGCCCACAGGACCTCGCAGGAACACGTCGTCTTGAGTGGCCAGCACGTCCTCGAACATTTCAGGCGAGGAGATCACAATGGTGGCTGGACGGCCAGGGATCGAGAACATCCACGGCCGGTTGTCGAACTCGATGGATTGTTCGTTCAGCCAGTCGTGGAAGCGCTCGGCATGACCACCGACGTCCAGGATGTTCTTGAGAATGGGGAGCGTGGTCGTAGGCATTGGTGGCAGTTTCCGAGCTTCGGCGGACGTGCTCTTCTTCGAGTTGCGTAGTAGCAACGTCAGGCCAAGACTCACAGCTACTGCGGCAGTGATGGCCATGCCGTTCTTGTCACCGAAAAGCTCCGAGACGGATTTCATGGCGACTGTGTTACTGGTAACTTGACTGTCGTGGTGCCTGGAATTCCGATGGGCTGGTCGATTCTGTGAATGGTTCTACGGGGAAGGATGGGCGTGGGTCTGGCAGACGGTCGAGGTTTCGGGAGGTTCATGTCCGAGCAGACTCCGCGGTCCACGGTCACCCGGAGAGACTTCCCTCTTCCAGACGAGGCAATAGAATCGCATACTCTATAATTGGTCAAAATGTAGCCAATAGAAAAGCCTTCAGACATCTTACTTCTTAAGGATACTTAAGGAACCCTATTAACTTAGTGCCAAAATCTCGTCGGTACGCATGCTGATTGGCCAGGATGGCATTCAGACGAAAAAAACCCAATAAAATATTAATGGTTTTTTTTCGTCTGAATGCCATCGGAAAGCGACATTTCCTTTGAAAGTTCTACAAGTTCGATGTCGTTCAAGTGCTAAGAGTTCTGCTTCTTGCTGATTGGCCGGGATGACATTCAGACGAAAAAAAAACCATTAAAATTTTAAAAGGTGTTTTTCGTCTTGAATGCCATCCTGGCTAATCAGATCTCTCGAAAAAAAGGGGCGGAAATTCGTTTTACATAATAGGAAGCTCTCACGATCTGCGGTTGCAAAACACGGTGTAAAATGCCACTCGTGCATTTTACTGTAAACTTATACAAGTTAAATTAAAATCTATGTACACTCATTGATAGACCATATATTTTTTTATGATTGGTGGACATTTCATTTTACGAAATGATTCGCTAACCATTTCAACTTCCGTGACCATCTTTCCATGCGGTGAGCGAGCGTTCGGGAGCCTCCGCATCACCCAGCTTCGCTCTAAGCATGCCTAGAAGATGGCGTTCGTCATGTGATGCACGTCGGCTTGCATTGCTGCTGCAAGGGACCATACTGATTTGCCAAACTGGCAGAAAGATGCTATGTGCAGGTTCTAGAAGGG